GTCCTCCAAAGTTTACCCACAAGCCCTGTGACTGATAAAGTGTTGAGAGCAGGGCATTTCAGATTTCCCTTAAGGAGCAGACTAAATTGCACAAATGGTTTCCCAAATCCCCCTAAGCTTCATAAACAGCCTTCCTTAGACTCTGCTATACACTTCAGTTTCATAAGGATTGTGATCTTTGAGGTGAAGATACCATAAAGGTCATCAAAGCCCACTTCAAACACACAACAGGAATCCCTCTGCCACAGTCTTTATGGTCGGTTAGCTAGCCAGTCACCTAATATGCAGGCTCACCGGCCTACAGGGCATTGCATTTTTCCCTGGTGTAGATTTCAAAAAGTTTCCTCTGTTGTTGAGGTGAAATCTTCCTGATTAGATCTTGAACTCTGTGGTCTTATATTTACCTTGGAAGGTGCTCAAAACAAGCCCACTCCCTTTTCCATAGGACAGAATGTCAGATTGTTTGAAGATTATCATTATGTATGCCCACTCCCTCTGCACTCCAAAATAGTCCGTCACAGCAGTCACGCTTCCTTCACTATGGCCCCATACTCTTTATGCTTATTGTACCAACACATTACCTAGGGTGGGCCGAACTGATCCTATTGCTGCTGAAGAAGCTTGGCTAATATAAGCGTGGAGACTGTGACATCTAGAGACTGTAGTACTTGAACTATCCCATCATTTCCCCTGATACTCTCAAGCCCCACATCAGGACCGGTCATTTCTGAAGAAGACATTTTAAAGCCCTTAAATTTCTCTTCCATGGCCTGCTCTTTGATCCTCTTCCCCAGCCTTGGATTCTTCTCCTAGGGTCATTGTGTTCTTAAGCCAGCTGCTTTGACCTCAGTCCGGCCTGTGACGACGAAGGCCAAATGAACTGAGTTGGAAATAGAGCAGAGTCCCCTCCACTCAGTAAAGACGGCTCAATCTGATGAGCGCAGTAGTAAATCTGAGCTTTAAAAAGGTTGAGCATTTGAAGCCATTACAAATGTGGGTCCTTTGAGAAGTCTGATTACAATAGAGGTGAAGTTATAATGTATAATTCTGATATCTACAGACTATAGAGCAGATGATAACATATATTAAATGTTATTGTTTTTAGTATCACATATTATCTCTGTTAGGACCACTAGCACTTTTTTAAAAGCAGCTTCTTAAAATATGAGAGCAAAATGGTGTGTGGAAAATAATTTTAGTACAGTCTTGGAGAATGAAGAGTGTGTAAACTGCACATTAGCTCTTCATCTCCTAGGCAGGATCAAGTACAGCCTGAGCTGGCTTCACTCATAGTCCCTTGAATATACATTTGGAAAATAAAGTAGTGACATATAAAAATCAATGTGGCAGAAGTAGAAATTTAGCTGAACAGATAACGGTTTTCAGTGAAGAAATGAAAGTGAAATAGTCTGATGTTTTTCCTTGAACTTGAAAGTTCTGCAGTGGCTTTTAGACAAGGATATCGCCCTGGGCTAATTATCCTGATAATGATGGTAGTCTTGCTTGTGAAGAAAATGATTCAGTTTTGTACTCACTGTGGGAGCAGTCCCAGCTATACACAAGGTGACCTCACAGGAAGGGAGGCCTCAACTCGGATTTGTAGCTTAGGTGGCTCAGTGGACTGGGTACAACCAGTATCCAGCAAGCCCATGAGCTGTGGATGAATAGAAGCTCCTCAAAAGGTGCTAGGGAGAGCAGTTGTGCTTTCATTTAAGTAGCTGTCATACCCTTCCACAAATGGTGGCTCTCCCCACTGTCAGCTGCACACATGCCCACAGAAAGCAATTCTTTCCAAGTCTTTACCCTCTGTGTGAGTTTTCATAGTGACCTCTAGGTCCACCTTCTCCGTCATCCCCAGGTCCCTGTGTGAGGGTATGAAAGGCTCATGTACTTCTCCACATCCTTTCCCTTCTCATCTCCTGAGAATGACCAGGTCATTGTTGGTGTTGACTGACCACTGAGTCGCTACCAGGGAATAGACCAACAGTCTTAGCTGTAAAACTTCTTAAGAAGAATAATTTCAAACTTTGTGTCATTGGGTCTCCATCAAGGATGCTGCTCTGCTGGAAACAGTCTTTATTTCATATTTATATCTATATCTGCTTTTGGTCAGTTTTTTATGCATGGTTTCTAGCAATTTCCATACTCTCTTCATCACAATTCTGAAATTTAAAAAGTTCTGAAAAGTGCTATTTTTTCAGACAAGATAAATTTCAGACAGATTCGTTTGATAACAAACTTGACTTAAACTGATGTGGGGATATTTATTTAAAGTGTTTACTCCTCTTACTGTGTGAATGCTAATGTAGAAATATGAATGAATTTTTTAAGGGGTGCATCCACAGATCACAGGGAGTACTGTGGGGATACATATATTTATGTATATGTTATAGTCACTATATTAACTTTTATGATTAAAAAAATCAAAATACCAAAATGCATTTGTCACCAGATGGCTTTTGGATAAAGAACACTTGTACACAGACACACACACACCCCACGCAGAGTTTTTGCTAAATCCATGAAACTTGTAGTTTGACTTGCCTGAGGAAAAAGTTTGTTTTGGTAAATAACACATCTGTGCTTTATGTACATCACATCAACGCATTTGGTTTTGAGGGAGTAATTCCAAGGATTGTTTTATTTCTTACAGAATTTGCTGAAAAAGAATCCAGTACCTGGGAACTCTATCCAAAAAATACTTTAAAGTAAATCCAGACTCTATTTTACTTTGATAGTATCAGCATGACCAGCTTCTTACAAGAAGCCAGAAATTAATGCATAGGTGTGGAAGAATACCAGGAAACAGGCTTTCACTTGAAAATCATAAGTTTGGAACCAAATTAGATTTTATCCTTCAATCCACCACCCACTATTCTCAATACTGCAGATGCTCCGTGTTATAACTGAAAATTTTCTTGAGGGAAATTGAGGCCAAGTTAGCCTAATCTCTGGATTAGTCTCACTTAGATATGTTCTATCAGTCTTTTGTAACTAAAGATAAAAACATTTGACTCAATTTAAAGAGAACTTTGCATAAATCTGGAGTCATACTGACCTTAAAGAGAGATCTGCAAAAGAATGCAAGGAAATAAAAGTCCCGAGTTATAATTCTCCTGCCCTCCCTCTATTGTTAGAGAAATAAACACACAGGTTCCCAGGAGATATAGTCCCCTATTTTTCATGCTTTCCTCTAAGCTCTTGGTATATTTGGGAGAGAAATGTGCTTGCAGATAGCATTTACTTAGGAGATAGCATTTTAAAATGAGCTTTTGCTCCATGAAAGAAAATGCCTATATGGAAGATTAAAGGATCGTTCTTCAAGGATGGATGGCACAAGGCCCTGTGTGCTGAATAGTGACGGATGAGGAGCCCATGCTGGCCTCGGAGGGATCTTATTCCCTCCCAAGCGGCAACCGAGTCCAGCTCCAACCCAGCTGGTGAGAACTGTAGCACTGAATAAAAGGCCCTGTGGAGTGATTGCCTGGAGAGGGGCATGGATTCCTTCGGGTTTAGGCAAGGAATACAGGTGCATCCTTCCACGTCTTGGGTAGAGGAGTCAGCCAAGTCTCTCCTCAGATTTTAAGTTAGGACCACGGAACTAGGTGAGCTCTACAGACCGGATTGTGCTCTCCTGGCTCCACTGAAGCCTCAGATTTGGAAAATGTGAGGTGGCAGAGCCTGACAACCTGCTGCTGTGTGTGAGAAGCAGGCAGGCCAGATGGATGACCAGCCAGAAACGTGGGTCAGACCTGGCCTGACGGGGAAGATGTGCCAGCCCCGAGCACACCTGCTGCTGTGGGCTCAGCTAAATTGCAAAGGTGGGCAGGGCTGAAGGGACAGAAATTAGAACCCTCCCCGTCCATTTTCTGAGAGAAAGCAAAAGAACTCAGTCCAAAGCGACAATGAGCCTAAGGACAGAGGGTGCTGACATACCCCAGCGTGCTATTAAGCAGCTGAGGCTGATTTGTTACAGGGCACAGAGAACAAACGATTGGTAAAGAGGAGTATTGATTCTCAATAAAGGCAAAGTAGCAAATGGTGTCACTTTCCAAATGCTTTGCTTGGTCAGCTTTACAAATTTAAAATCAATCATTAGAGATGGTTGGTCCCTTAGGATCATACCTCCTAGTAAGAGTTTTACAAAGACTTTTAAAAAATTATGGTGGAGGATGCAAAGAGGTGCATTCTCTCATTTCCTTATTCCTCTACCCAACAAAGAGCAACAGAAGACCCCTTGTCACCTTGGGGCTGAATGCTGGCCCTTTGCAGGGGATGTGTTCTGCACAGCCACTGGGAATGCACAGTACCAGGTGCTAACCTTGGTTCTCTGACTAGCTGTGAGGCAGAAGCAAGTCTCTCCTCTTCCCTTGGCCTCAGTTTCCCCCAATTAAGATGAGGGTTGGGCTCCCCTGAAATTGAGGAGAGGACCATACAGTCCTGGGTTTAGCTAGGATCAGAGCCCCTGGACAGACTTGTGAAGCTTTGAACAAGATGGCAACAGAAAACCCTGTGTCATTCTTACTGTTTTTGCTTTGTTTTGTTTTTGTCTATGTTGTAGGCATTTTGCTATTGTTTTTTCTCTTCAATTCTCTTAAAAAAAAATACAAAAAAGATGGTAACAAAAGCTGAAACATTATCTTAATGGAAGTAGATCCACGAAACAATTAGTATCTAAATCACTTCTGTATCTTGTGTTCATAACACGTGTCACTTTGGCCTAAACTTTTCGTGTGGATTGAGGGTGGCACGGCTTTCCTGGGAGGGAACTACACTGAGCTGGGAAGCCAAGGAGATTGCAAGCACACGGGTGTGTTCTAGTCAAACTCTGACACTGGGCCAGTCCCTCCTGAGCCCACCCTTCCGGTCTATAAAATGAAGGTGGTACACTCCACCCTGCCTATAGCTCACGGATTATAGGCCCTTGTGTTGCACTGGGCTGTTTCCATCTGGTTTGAGGCTGAAGGAAGTAATGAATGATGTCATTTTTTTTCTTCCAGCCCACCCTTGGCCACACCCCAGCCCCCACCTGCAGTTCAAGCCAGTGGGGGTTCTGGCAGCTCCAGCGAGTCAGAGAGCAGCTCCGAATCAGACTCTGACACGGAAAGCAGCACAACTGACAGCGAGTGCAATGAGGCACCTCGAGTGGCCACTCCAGAGGTGGGTTGAAGTGGCCAGGTTCCAGCCATTTTCTACACACACACATACACACACACTTTCAGCACCATAACTATTTCAGCATGGTAACTATGTCCACAAAATGTGCAAGTATTTCACAGCCCTTTTTTTGTCTTCAGCATATATTTGCATAGACCCTAACGCAGTTTCATTTCTTCTTATGTGATTTGCTGTGGGACTCGATCAAGCTTCCTCAAGGGTAGAGATCGAACAGTAATGACTGGACTAGCAGGTTCTAGTTCAAGAGAAACAACAAAACTAGTCAAGACCACTGCTCCCCTAGGCACACCAACCCTTACCTGCCATTAAAATTGTGAAAGCAGTAAACTGCCATAGTAAAGGAACACCCAAGCAGAATGCCTTTTCTTAAAGGTCAAATGATAGTTGAGAGTTCACATGCTTTTTATATCCATTTCTATCAAGTGTGTTTAGTGAGTGATTCATGAAGACATTGAATAAGCCCTGAACATACAAAACAATAATTTGGAATTTAGAATAAAAACTATTTCGTTCCTTCCTACCATCCCCTCTGAGTTCAGGATAGCTGCTCTGATACCCAGAGCCTGCACCTGGTACAACAAGCAAATCCCGCCTTGTCATCTTCATACAGGCGTTTTTCAGTAACCAGGAAGGAATGATAAAAGTAGGCAGGAGTGGTATCACAGCTGCTAATGACAGCAAACACGTACGGAGCAGAGGCCTTATACCAGGCACTGTGCTACGCTCTTTACTTGCATGCTCCCATCTCACCTTCATCATGGCCCTATGGGTTATGATCCACTGTTACGATCTGCGTTTGACAGATGAGGATACAAGTTTCTGAGAGCAACTTTCCCAAGCCCCCTCAGACACACAGTAGTAGAGCAGGACCGAATCCCAGGTCAGTGTGTCACCAGAACTGGGTTTCTTCACTCTGAAGCTGCTCCACCGATAATGGCAGCTGATACATCTTCACCTTTTACCCGCCACCGTCGGGTGTAGGTTGGAGCCACAGCCACTCATGTGTTTTTAATTCTGTCACCCTCTATTGGCTGGTGCCATAAGCTTCAGTTGATGACTTTCAAAAGAAGAGCTCTCTCAAATAAAAATGATGGCTCTTTTAGTTCGACTGGCACAATTCAGAGTTGGGAATCCAGGACCTGAATTGTATGCATCATTTCCATGGCTTAATAGTGGACGCTAATGCCTGTATTCATATCCCCATAAATCGGTTATTGCCCATACATTGAGGAAAGTGCAGTGGTTTTTGGAAGTCAAATCTTTTCATCCTCCAGTAAAAATACAAAAGGCTTGTTCTGTTGGCAGTGAATTAGAGCATCACATAGGAGGCACTGGCACTTCGGCGGATGGAAAGCCTTTCCTTTTGAATTACACTTGAGGCATGCTTAGATTTCTTTTCAGGATCAGAGACCATTACTGCTGCCTCCTGCTGAGGGGTCTAGTGATGATTCTCAGCAAAGAATTTTGGGAACAGATTTTCCTCCCAGGACCCCCTGCCTACCTTCTGAAACATCTCTGTGTGAATCATTCTTTTTTTCCTGGCCAGAGTAGAGAATATTGTTAGAGGAAGAGTGGGAATTAGTTTAAATAAGCAGACTACAGCTGGTTTGTATCTGGCTATCTAGGTAATTTGATTAGTGTTGGTAGTGCATGTGTGCATGAGTGTGTGTGTACTTGGACATGTGCGAATGGTCACTTAATATCCAAAGCTTCTACCAGCAAGCAGTCCCTGCACAAGTGAAGAATTCTTCTACATTCATCTCAAATGTGAAATTTATTGTTGCTGCTTTTTCTCAATCTGCAGCCTGAGCCACCCTCAACCAACAAGTGGCAGCTGGATAAATGGCTGAATAAGGTGACATCTCAGAACAAATCATTTATTTGTGGCCAAAATGAAACGCCCATGGAGACAATTTCTCTGCCTCCTCCAATTATCCAGCCAATGGAAGTCCAGATCAAAGTGAAATCAAACCCCAGCCAGGTATTGGCTGAGCCCAAAGAAAGGCCTCTCCTGAGTCTCATTAGGGAGAAAGCCCGTCCTCGGCCCACCCAGAAAACTCCAGAAACAAAGGCTTTGAAGCATAAATTGACGACTGTTGAGACAGCTTCTCAAAGGACAATTGGGAAGAAACAACCCAAAAAAGTTGAGAAGAACACCAGCATTGAGGAGTTTACCTGGCCCAAACCAAATATTACCAGCAGCACTCCCAAAGAAAAAGAAAGTGTGGAGCTTCCTGACCCACCAAGAAGCCGCAGCAAAGCCACTGCCCACAAACCAGTTCCTAGGAAAGAACCAAGGCCTAACATCTCCTTGGCTGCTGAGAAGAAGAAGTACAGAGGGCCTAGCAAGATTGTGCCAAAGTCCCGGGAATTCATTGAAACAGATTCGTCTACATCTGACTCCAACACCGATCAGGAAGAGACCTTGCAGATCAAAGTCCTGCCTCCTTGCATGGCTCCTGGAAGCAACTCTGCAAAATCCAAGGAGACCTGTGGTGCAAGCCTGACCTTCAGTACCTTAATCAGCAGCAGCAGCAGCAGCAGCAGCAGCAGCAGCAACAACAACAGCTTATCCAGCAGTAATGATGAGCCATCTTTCTCGCCCATTTCTGTCATGCAGACAGAGTTACTGTCCCCTCTTCGAGATCACGAGAATCTGAAAAACCTCTGGGTGAAGATTGACCTTGACTTACTTTCTAGAGTACCTGGCCACAACTCACTTCAAGCAGCATCTGCCAAGCCAGACCACAAGGAAACACCCTCAAAACCCAGACGTCAGACTGGTACCACAGCTGTGGAAAAACCTGCCCCGAAAGGCAAGCGTAAGCACAAGGTAAGCTATGTGCGGTGGCTTGCCAAGTGATCAGCGGCAGTGGCTGGCTGTTACCTCACTTCATCTGGAGTCTCATTTTCAAGAAGGCCAGTGGTGATAGATTGCAGACTTCGGTGTTGCTTCCCATAGGAAATGGAGTATTTGACACGTGATCAGAGACAAAACACTAGAGTGAGAAGAGTTCAACAGCTAGTGGCACTATGGCACCTGAGAGATTACCATGTGGTAGGAAAGAATATAAAGAAAATCCACTCCCCCTCTCCCCCGCCACCAACAGCCAGTCACTGGAGTCAGTGCTTTAAAGTGCTCCTGATATCAGGGAGTTATTGCTCTGCAGTCCCCAACTGTGCCCACAATGTCTCAATACATCCTCTGAGCTTGTTCATTTCTCTACATAAACATTCACTTGCTCACGACCCAGTCATCTTTGGAGTCCCATTGGAGTACCAGAGACATGTTCTGCCCAGTCCGATGGGATCACTGGTTTAAGTAGTAGGCATGTCCTGGGAGTAATTTGCCTGCAGGCAGTTGGAACTGAATTCCAAGCCTCCAAAACAGAGAAATGAGAATGACCCTTCCTTCTGAAATATGTCTGCCGAGACGAGCTAGTGGCCAATAAGTTCACTCTCATTTGTCTCTAGATCTTGGGTACTTTTTTTAGAATAATATTGTCAAACGGTGACATCCAGGTAATCTTATTTCCAACAGCTGCTTTAGTGGCTGGAGAGGAGATTCCTAGTCCTTTTTCCCATTTCTTTTATTTCTTCCTGGAGAGACTTAGTATGCCAGAATAGCTCAAATCCTTCCATGAAGAACAGCCCACCCATAGCCAGGACTGATCTGTTGAAAAGGCTACTGCAAGAATGAGTTCAGTGTTCACTCAATTGTAATTTAGATGTTGAAACCAGAGGGTATGATGTCTGAGTCATTCACCAAATGTACCCAGTGAGAGTATTACAAAATACGGAGCAGCCCTGGGACCCTTGCCGCTCCACCGCTTCCTCTGTCAGCAATGGCAGTAGTAGAAGCAGAGGTGCAACTGTACCTTTAGCGCTAACATATGCACATATGTAAAGATGTGCCTTGCACTTAGCTCTTCTCCCTGCGCATTGTTGATCTTGTAAGCAGCCTTTCCATGTCACTTCCCATCTCTGTGGTGTTTACGAAGATGTGCACCGTTAGAGTTACAATGTTAGTTTCTAAATCACATGCTTGTGTGGTGTTGATGAAGAAAGTGCCTGAAAAGGAGAGATTCTCTTTACTTTTGTTAGGGGATTCCTGTGCCATCCAATCTTTAATCAGACGTTCACATCGCAGTTTAAGTCCCTCCAGTGCCAGCCTCTCTGTAGGACTAGACCAGAGAAGGCTGATTGCTTTTCTGTCTGATCAAAGGTGCACATTTAGCGCCCTTACCTAATCTAGAAGTTAAAAGTGCAGCAAACTATCTTGCTTATTTTTTTAAATGTTTGAAACATGCTTGTCTGAATGTGTCATGTATTTCAAGGTCTATTTTTCTTTTTCTTTTTTTTTTTCCTTGTTAAAGCCAACAGAAGTTGCCGAGAAAATCCCGGAGAAGAAGCAGCGCCTGGAGGAGGCCGCCACCCTCTGCTTGCTTCCTCCTTGCATCTCACCAGCCCCACCCCATAAGCCTCCCAGCGCTAGAGAGTAAGTGCGCCCCGGCCCTGGATGATCTTTCTGACTTTTAAGAAATCCTCCCTGAACACTTTTTGGCGTATTCGAACTCAGAGGAAAGTCAGGCAAACACCAGGAGTATCTCAGCCAGGCCTGACAGCTGGCCCTGGCCACTGCTCTAACACGAGGAGGACAAAGAAGGAGTGCAGGCTATACAGTCTGCCAGGTTTGAGGTCACTGTGAGCTTTGTGGCAACATTTCTTTATGCCAACTCAGACTGATGGCTGAAATGAGCCAAAATGAATTTTTCATGCAAAGTGAATGGTAAAAAGTGAGTTAAAAGTGGGTAGTGTCAAGTGACACCTATCGCTTTAACCAGATCACCTGCTTCTGGCCAAAGCTCCATTGTGATGGTGATTAAATAATTTCCCTGCTAAAGCAGCTCCTTGGTGTTGATTGGTGACGCAGCTGCTGCACTTTTGATGTCATTACCTAATGTTAATCCAAAGCTTGAGGGCCAGCAGCTACACGGCGAAGTCCGCAGAGGCTAGGGGAATGACAGGGTTGGGGAGGACAGAGAGATGAGTTGTCAGGGAGATGCCCTCTCCCAGGGGCAGTTCTATGTCTGGGAAAGCCAGCTGGGATGCATATGCAAATTCCAACCAACTAGCACTTCCTCTCCCATCCTTCTCTGTGTGGAAGGTTTCAGAGTCAAGCAGGAGGCGTCCTTGTTCCTTCGTCACTCAAACAGCATTAGCCTTCCCTAGAGAAGTCCTACCCTCTGTTACCACCAAGCATCATGACCCAGTTCTTTCTGTCTTATAAATATCACTTAACTAACAATCACGTCAGCTACTTGAACCATTCCATCTGGGTAATTATTGCCATAAATTCATTCAACATTAGAGATTGCTTCCATCAAAGCCCAGTTTTGGAGCCTATTAGCAGCCCAGAGCAGAGGCAATCTGGCTAACTGCTGCTATACAATTGATTTCACAGATTACTGTTTAACATCAGTGATACGGCATCAATCTGCCACAGATGAGATGTCGGAAATAAGTTATCAGCTTGTGTGGGTCTGGATCCTTGTTGTTTTGAGACGGAAGGTAGGAAGAAACCAATTACTACTAGTTCCTTACTATAGCGTGAGGGGCTTTGTGCCCTGGGCTGCCCTCCCCCTGAGGACCAGCAGCTATGTGTGAGGCTTGTCTGAACTCTGCTATGACGTGGCTCTGAAACATTCATTCATAGAGGAAAAAGGCAAAAGCAATGGGGCACTGCCACCACCATCAGTCCACACTGCTTTTCCTGCAGGCTCCTGATTACTCAACTGAGAGACTTGCTGCTTTTTTTGTCTTATGGGAGGGAAGTGAACAAGTATTAAATAAACATCTAGCCATTCATGTTTGGTTTTATACAATGGTAGTTTTAATCTATAGTTTCACAATCTCTCTGCTTTTCTGTTAGGCAGAAAGGCAGTGTTTCCCTAGGAGCCTTTATTATTCAGGAAGGGGCCCGAAGCAAGTTCTTAGACTCATCCAACAAAATCACATCTCTGAAAATGCGGAAGAATGGAGCAAGGACGGGTGTCTTCTAGGCCTGCTCTTGGGAATCTTCTCTCAAGTGTTTTCTGCTCCCTTGTGCCTTTAACCTTTCATGCTCAACCTTTAGGCCTTTTTGTGAGACAACAGTCACTTTTTTTTTTTCTGGTACCGGGACTTGAACTCACGACCTTGCACTTGCCGGGCAGGCACTGTGCCGCTGAGCTAAATCCCCAGCCCCATCATTCACTTTTTAAAACAGTAGTTCTAAACACAGCAAAGATGACACAGCAGGCTACGGCAACTGAAGTCACCCTGTCATCCAAAAGAAGGTCTATGACTGGTCATTCGAGAGATGAAAATTAAAACAATGCTGAGATTCCACCTCACTCCAAAAAGAATGGCAATTATTGAAAAATCAACTAATAACAAATGTTGGCAGGGCTGTGGGGGAAAAGGAACCCTTCTCCACTGTAGGTGGGAGTGTAGACTGGTGCAGCCACTGTGGAAATCAGTGTGGTGATTCATCAGAAAACTAGGATTAGAGGTTCCATTTCACCCAGCAATTCCCCTGCTCGATACCTTCGTGGTAGAATTAAAAACATAATATCACAATGATATATGCACATCTATGTTTATAGTAGCACAATTTGTAATAGATAAATCTTAGAAACAGCACAAATGCCCATCAACCACTGAATGGGTAAAAAAGATCTGTTTTTTTTTTTTTTTTATACAATGGAGTACTACTCAGCCACAAAGAAGGATAAACTAGAGACATTCCTAGGTAAATGAATGCACCTTGAGTTCACACTCTTTAAATGAAATAAATCAGACACACATGTGTAAATATTGCACTGTCTGTTTGGTGTGAGAAACTGAAAGGGTAAATATGGACCAAAGTGTAAAATAGGTATAGTGAAATAGGAAGAAATTGTTCAGAAGAAAGAGGAACTAGGAAGGGGGAAGAGGGAAAAGAAGAGGAGAAAAGGATAAAAGAAGGACAAAATGGAAACACAGCTTTGTAAATGAGGAAAGGAAGAGTGGTTGAAGGTATAGGAGGGGAATGAAAAGAAAAAAAATCAGGAAACAGGATATATCATGAATAGGTACAAACTCCCTTTGATGAATATGATCACTGTACATATCTAAATTGTATCAATAAACTTAATAAAATGTTTTTTAAAAGACAAGGTCTCTGAGGATCCCCTCCTCTCCCTGGGGATTGGCCCTCGAGCAGGCATTCTGAGGGACTGTAGGCCATTATATCACTAGACTATGTAAAGAGGGACCTAAAGGTGCAAAACCTATGGATGGAAGCCATAAGAGCAAGAGAGCTATCTCTAGAAACTGCTCCTTGGGTACCTCTTGCCAGGGAAAGCATTAAAGGGCCCAGTAGGTCCAGGCCACTTCCAGGCAGATGAAAAGAAGGTGAGGTCACGGGCACCCACCACACAGAATGTAGCAAGTCCCCATCACTCAGTTCAGGGGCAGATGGGAAGGCTTTGATTGATGTAGACAATAGTGAATCAGTTGCTTCTCAGAAGCTACCCTTCCCTTTGCAGCCCCTACTGCCTTCTCAGCCAGCTTAGATTACGGGAGAGCGATCAGGACTAAAGAATCATTCACCTCCTGTAGATGCCATAGCAAGGCTTGACATGGGTATATATTAATTTCCAAAGGTCAGGTGCCTCTGAAATCACTGCATTTAATGTGGCCTAATGCTGATAGGGCATCCTTGTGGACAAGAATCTTAATCTACATAGTCGCCATCATGTTTATCAGGCATCAGTGCTATCTTATAACGGTTCTACATTTCAGAGCAATTTTAAAAATCCATTGGCAAGCATTTTTATATCAACTTCAATTGATTAAGGTAATGACAGAGTCACCTAATTTTTTATATACTTTCACTATGTTACAATAAAATAACATAGGGCCATATTTATATTACAAAAGATGAGGAAGATGACACATATTATTACAGTGGGCAAATTTGTGCAACATAGCAGAAGTGGAAGAAGGGGACTGCACTGACTTCTATTTCGAGAAATCAGACCATTTGAATGCTTGTTCATCTTTGATTTGTAGCTTAGAGATACAGCAAATCTATATTTCTAGACACTGACTGAAATTGACCAAGAGGAAAACATAAATTCTTGTTGACTTAATTTGCTATTGAAAATTGTAGTCAATAATCATGAAAAGTAAATGGCTGTGCAGTGCAATATTAGTTGTCTAAGAAAAGATTAAAATTCAAGTAATCTTCATTGATTAGTCTAAGACAGTAACTAAAATGAAAATCCATGACCCAATTACCATGTTAAGCAGTTAGCATAAGATTTTAGTTGTTCTGTTTTATTTGAAGTCTCAGTCTTTTTGATGGTGCCCATTTAATGGGCAGATAAATCAGCTTGAAAGCATGGGAGTACTTTTAGGACTCTAGATATCTCATGTCAATATGACCAAAGAATCTTTCTTAAATGGACTTTTGTGAAGTGGAGTACATCAGTACTTCAATAAAACAGTTTAAGGTCAGGTGTTCATTATGCTTTGGTGATAAGGCGGAACATTTTGGATATGCAATTGCAATGTCACAATATTATTTCCTGTATAATTTATTTCTAAGTAACATATAATCATCAAATTTCTTAAGAAACTATCCTTCCACTTATTATATATTATACATTTACTGCATGATTGTTCAGTTAAGTCCTGTAGCAAAATAAGTAGAAACTATCCTAAAAATGATGGGATGAAAGTCTGTATTGTATTTTCCTTAAATCTAATTAACAGTAATCTAATTTCTATCGGTGACAAATGTTATACTGCAGCATGTTCTTTTAGGCATTTACAGTTGTCATGGAGTTCTGCTTCAATGACAGTTGTTTAGTTCTCAATACATATGTGTGCCTATCTATGTATATGAAGAGAGATATCTGTATAGATATCTATGTCTACATGCATTTTATATATCATTTACCATAGAAAAATGATCATTAATTAAAGTAGAATTGCAGCAAAAAGCCCTAGCAGTATGGGGAAAATCAGAATAAAGCAAGATAACTCTTTCTGGTGCCCTATACTTTTTGTTTCCACAGAAATAATTCATCCAGGAGAGCAAATAGAAGAAAAGAAGAAAAATTGTTTCCTCCTCCACTTTCACCCCTGCCAGAGGACCCTCCACGTCGCAGAAATGTCAGTGGCAATAATGGACCCTTCAGTCAAGACAAAAACATCTCCATGACTGGACAGGTCACCTCTACTAAACCTAAGAGAAGCGAAGGCAAATTCTGTGCTACTTTCAAAGGGATATCCGTAAATGTAAGTGTCTTTGAAGAAAGATTATAATTGTCAGATAGAAACAAGTTAAACCCACTCAGCTAACCTGACTTGACCAGAGCAAATGTTGCAAGCAGGAAGGGAAGAAAAACCACAGAGAACACACAGATGTGGGTGTGGTTGTGTACTCAAACACTCAAACTATCCATTACTCTTATTTCAAAGCTTGATTATTCCTTCTCAGCATAAATTTGTTTCATTCCAGATTAATTCTCCACCTTGTTTTCCCAAACAAATGGTACATGCAGAAATGCAGGGACTTGGGTGTCCTTTGGTCCAGTCTCTTCATATCTTGGGGTGGGGAAGACACTTCCATAACACTGACCACAGTCTATGGCACATGGTAGGTGGAGATCATTCAGTGAGTGCATAAACAAGTGGATGGATGGATATTTCCCAAGATCACTGAACTGGTGCAGAAATTCTAAGTTGCATTCTTTCTACTTCTTAGCTTGGCAAATGCGAATTGTTTTCCAAAACAGTGATTAAATTGGATTGAATTTAAAAAGAGGACATGTTGCTAAAATCGCACAGTTATGGTTCTAAACTCAGCTAAAGGACAGTGTAGTCCACTGGATTTTCTGCACTGCTGCTCAGTTAGCAGAGATAATTGGAAATTTGTACCATTTTTTATACCCACGTACAAAGTCTTTTCCTTTGCCTCAAGTATAGGCACATGAACTGTTGAAAACACTACCTCCAAAAAAACCCCTCCAAAATCATACACAGATGTGGCATCCATATGCATCTAGTCTTTTAAAAAGATGATATAAAAGGCAAATAAATAATAAAAGTTCTCATAAGTCTATAACCAACATTTTGGACCCTAAACCACAAGTTCTTGTCTAACACCCATATTGTGTTCTCCATCATCTGAAATGATTGAGATAACCTTCATCTCTAAGTAGATTTCATCACCTATATAAACGAATTACACTAGCATGAAGTTGTCATTTTCCATACACATTTAATGATGCTGACGGTACAGTGTTGGGAATTAAACCATCTATTCTAAACAGTAATTATGTTACCCGTCCTATTTTTCACATGGAGTGTAATTAATATTTTGGACTCCAACTGAGCTCTACTACAAGCTTTTGGAGGGCATGCAACTCATTGGAGAATCCTCTCTGTATAGTGCCTAGTATATTGTCACAAATAATTAAATGTTGTAAATAATAGTGCCTAGTATATTGGTAGCAATAATTAAATGTTATAAATAATACAGATGTTATTATGACAATGAGAATGCTTACAAGAATTTGTAGCCAATTCCATAAGAGCTAAAAATTACTGGAAAAACATGATAAATATAATTATATTTGCTCATAAAAGGGCTTTATCTTTCTTTAAGGATCATGAAACATCTCCTCTGGGTTCATAAAATGAATCAACTTTTCCAGGTACAAGAGTGTTTTCAATTTTGGGCTCCCAGAGTTTTCTCTACCCCATGTAGACATAAAGGCCTGTATATTGAGTCAACGGTGGGGTGAGTGTGGATAGATGATATATTTATATAATTCCCTGGATCATGGCTGTATCTTGACATTTCTAGTCCAGTGTTCCAGGAGCAACATCAACACCATGTGTATGGCAGACATGGTGTTTCAGGTGTTTCAGGGTTCCTGTCACGTAGCTTGGCCATGGATCCAGACAGGGGCACTCTCTTGGGCTAAACACACCGACTCATCTGGGCCAGTCTGGCTCTAGCAATGGAGATATAGAACTGGTATAGGAGTTTCTTATGACTGTGATTCCTTTCTATGTTTGAGTTGAAAATTTTATATTAACATATTTTCTCCATATCCATTGTAATAATTTATAGATGTGGAGCCTACCTCGCATGTTTGTCATAATGCATTCTAGGTGGTAAGAATTAAATGCTGCATCATGTTAGAAGGTTCAGAATCAAATTGAAAAGGTCAACTTGCATGGACATAAGAAGTATCACATTTGACTTTTTCATCTGAACCCCTTGACTAAGGTAGACATGAAGGTATACATAAGTGCATGCATTCAGCAAATGCTAAGGGTACTGGGCTGTGAAGTGGAGGGGCAGTGTGCAAAATCAGAGATGGCTCCCAGCCTGAAGTGACCAGCAAGGCTAAAAGGTAGAGTATAAAACTGGCTGGTGGTTGGTATTTTTACAAAGGAATATTATGCAGCCTTAAAAGAATAAAATCCTGCCATGTGCTATAACATGGATGAACTTAAGTGCATGATGCTAAATGGAATATGCCAGGTGCCAAAGGACAAATCCCATAGGATCTCACTTGTACGAGTTCCTTAGAGAAGTCACATTCATGGAGACAGAAAGTACAATGGTGAATGCCAAGGACTGAGGTAAAGGGGAAAAGGGAAGATGTTGTTTAATCAGTGTAGGGTTTCAGTTCGGTTAGTTGAAAAAGAGTTCTGGAGAATGACTGCACAGCAATGTGAATGTACTTAACATTACTGAACTGTATGCTTAGATATGGCTGACCAAGATAATCAGTGTCACATGTACATTCTACAAGTATAAGAATTTAAAAATAAAGTTGAAATAATGGAGTAAAGTATCACAAGGTAGGAAGGGAATGAGAGAAAAAAAAAGAGGAAAGAGAGACAGGAGGAGAGAAGGAGAGGAGGATATCAAGGCAGAAGAAGAAAGGGAGGAAGGGAGGAAAGAAAAAAAGAAGGGAGAGATTGATGAAGGGAGGGAGGAGGAGAGGGAAAGAAGGAAAGACAGGTTGGTAATTCAGTCTTTTTGACATCTAGGAGTCCACATGAACCAAGTCAGGAGAGTACAGAAAGCAGGCATGTATTCCCTTTGTTTGAAGCCAAGGTCCATGAAAGGGACAGGTTGGAGATTGGGCCCAGTGCTAAAACCAAGTCAGAGAGAGTCTTGTGTGCCACCACAGGAGCTCAGCCTTGAGTTTGCATTTGGGTGCAGGCCAGTGACTTGCTTGGGGCTTTGTGTAGCTGAAGGTTGTGATTCCATGAGGACCTGTACTTTGAAGCCTTGAAGAGGAAGGGACAGAGTTGAGAGGGGTTGGGGAGGTACAGTGAATAGGAGTCTGTAATTCATGGATAAAGGTAACAGAGAGGAAGAAATGAAAGATGAAATACAATAGTGGTTGTCAAAAAGTTTTAGGAGCAACATCATTTTCTGAAATGAAGTAACTTACAAAACTTCACTATAGGAAGCTAATTAAAGCAGAGCAGCTCAGACGAAAGGCAAGGAGGAGGGGCCCTTCCCACCTGTTATAATACCGCTAGCCCTACGACTACCACAGTTCCCTGTGGAACAATGCCATATTCAACTGGAAACTCCTTAGTGACATGAGGAAATCCAGCCTTGTTGACAGGAAAGACCAACTGACCATTAACAGAAAGAAAACTGGTTTGGTTACCAAACTGGTTTGGTTACCAATTTGAACAAAGAGACATTTGAGCTGTTAATGGGCCATCTTGTTAGAACTGTCCAGAAGTGGTCACTAGAGGTCAGGAACTTTGGAAGAGAGAGTAAGATTGAAGCTTCCATTCAGGAATGACCTGCTTATTATTAGATCCTCTCAACACACCCGGGATCGTCACATCTGGTCGGGAAAGAAGAGAGCTGAGGAGGGAATTTTGGGGCATAGAAATCTTAGAGAGATACCAACTGAGAAAAGCAGCAGGAGGAGGAAGAATGAGGTGCCTCTGGAAGTCGCGTCAGGTGCAGAATAGCCAGGATAGTTGCACAGGTTCCAGGTGGGGTGTGAACAGGGTAGGTGGTCCCATAACACTGTCGCATAATAACAAATCTTACCACCTACTGTCTTCTGGATCCCATCCTCTTTGCATCAGTGACAGGGAAAGCACTTTAAGTCTCTTTGCCATTTGAGTTTTAAACTGGTGAAAATGAGGCCTCAGCATCCCAAGACTTCAAAATAAGGTGTGCTCATATGGCATTCACCTAACTACAAGCCAGTTAAGGCCCTCACATGAACCAAAGGGCTGCTTGGATCTCAGGCCAGTAAGGCACTGATTCTTGCAATACATGTCCTGGTGTTTATCTATTTTGTTGGACCAAGGCTGGTCTTTCTCAGAGTGACCTAAGGATTTTACTTACCCTAGAGAGAGTTTCAGGGCTAGTTCTCATATCATATTAGGGTCAAAGACTCTAGCCAGTCTCCTCTCTCTCTCTCTCTCTTTCTCCCTCCCTCCCCTCATGTGTGCCTCTGCCTCTCTCTCCTCCTTCATCTTCATTTTCTTCTTCAACATCCCATCTGTTTTATCTATCTTTCATCCTCTCTATAGTCTTCCTTCTCCCATCCCACATTTCCCACTGGATTTAGACCATTTCTCTACCTATCTAGACCACTGGGGCTCTGTAGTTACAGCACCTGACTAATTTGGGTCTCTGTCATCATAGAACAAAAGCTGGTGATTCACAGCATTTGGAAAATATACCAGGGTCTCATATTTATCTAGTTAAACTGTGTATGTTGTTTTCTTTTTTCTTGTCTTGTTTCCTGCTATGCCTGACCATCAAAACATTTATGAAAAGATGTTCTAGAAAGCTGAACCTGATGGAAGCTATTTATCCTCCTTTTTCTCAGGAGGGAGACACTCCAAAAAAGGCTGCCTCTGCCACCATCACTGTCAGCAATGCTGCTATTGCCACTGCCACTGTCACTGCTACTGCCACTGTCACAGCTACTGCCACCACTACTGCCACGGCCACCACTACAACTACCACCACTACTATTTCCACCATCACCTCTACTATTACTACTGGCCTCATGGATAGCAGTCACCTGGAGATGACGTCCTGGGCAGCCCTGCCTCTTCTCTCCAGCAGCAGCACTAATGTCCGGAGACCCAAGCTCACTTTTGATGACTCGTATGTTGTCCCCGCATTATCACAAACACAGTTTGAAAGTGGTGATTGGGGGCGGGAGTGTGGATAGTCTGGCTTTTCAAGTGTCATGTGTGTGTCACCCCACATAAGACCTTAGCATTCTGTCCTAGAGCCTTAAAAATAAGTTCCCCCTCCACATAGACACCTCTGTCCTCACTGAGAAATGGCCTTGGCCCATTTTAATCATGAAACTTTGTTACTGTTTCCAAAGGCAAGTGCTTCCTTTCGTAGGTTTTTTTTGTTTTTTTGTTTTTTTGTTTTTGGTCCTCTCTCAACCGTGTCCTCAGATATGCATAGATTTAGAGCTAGGTTTTGTGTGACCGACTTGATAGGTGTAATGATTAGGGTTGGAGGATATGGTTATTTTTCCTAATGGGCCATTAGGCACTTCAGGTTTCATTTACAATATTATTTCAAGGTTGGTTTATGAAACGAATGACAGCATTTGTCTACCTTTTCCAAGGCGCTGTACAGGAATGGATGTATAGCAAGTAATGTTTGTGACTGTTTAGTCTCTTGATAAAAAGATGAGCCATTGGTTTGTGAAAGAGCTTGTTTTGTTTGCTTAGGGTTCACAACGCTGATTATTACATGCAAGAGGCTAAGAAGCTGAAGCACAAGGCTGATGCACTGGTAGGTTTCCTTCCTCTCATTGCTTTGTTCTTACTGAGTATTATGCTTTGAAAGAAAACAGGAAGACACTTTACCAACTTTCAGCAGCATAGCCCAAACCTGCTTTTCAATGCGTCGGCACTCTGACACAGGGATATTAGAACTGCTTGATTCCTCAGCACAATAATCCCTACATTTATCTGAGCTGGGTTCCCCCATCATTCTTGTTCCCCACTCTTTTCCTTTTCCCCAACTTCAGAAGCTCATCATCATTATATTTAAAGTGAATTTGAAATGACATTTGGAATACTCTGGGGAAGAGAGGCACTCCAGTTGGGCCCAATAAACCAGAACTGTGTGGGGAGTGTAAGGCGTTGCGAGCTGGCTAACTGGTTTCAAAACCTGGCTTTGGAAAACTCCAAACTGCAGAAGAGCTCAGCCTCTTGCTGAATTTGATTATGTGTTCCCAGAGCAAGGACCACAGCCAAGCTGTGACCTCAGCAGAGAAATACAACACTACTATCTAGATTTCCAATGCATCTTAGCTACTTAGTCTAGTGCTTAACTCGATATACCAAACTGTTTGACTTAACTGATCCGCTTAATGGTGGGTCTCACTCATATGGTGTAATCACTTGGGAAACTTAGGCTCTATTTACCCCAGACCAATGCAATCTGAATTTCTGGGACTAGAAAGTTCCAAAATTGGAGTTGTCTAAGTGATTCCCAAAAGCAGTCATTTGATAATGACTGTCCTAGAGAAGGCCCCCGAATCAGGCTTCTCACCCAAGATCAAGTAGAAGGATCAACTCAACTCCCTGTGAGAAAAATAACATCCTACATCACTGCACCGTGTCTAGCGAAGACTGAGCCATGTTCATCACTGGGAAGGCCTGGGTGCAATATCATGGCAGCCTGTACCTACAATTAGTGTGCAGCCAACATCAACAGCCCATGGCCCTTACATCCGCTCCTTCCTTCCTTCCTGCCATTTTCCCTCGTGGTCCAAAGTGCCTAGCTACTGTCTACAGCTAACTTTCTGTGCTGTGAGTTGTCCCCTGGAAGCAGTTTTCTGTGACTTCTGTGACAAAAGTGACAAAGCAGGCAAAAGGCTGGCTCCAGTGGAGATACCAGACAGATGATGCTTGTGATCACTGTATAGGTGGCAAGAGATTTCAAAGGTGGCAGTGCTGCTGGCTGAAAGACCTAAAGCTTTCTCCATATGTCCTCAACTTCACAGTATTTCAGAAGTGCTCAAGAACCTGCCCTCTATCAAAATTGGGCACAAGGGCACATCGATGTTCCTTTGTAGGCTGTTACATGAGCTGAAGGCTGGGATGTGTGCATGAGACCACGTAGGTGAGACATTTGGAGAACAGATAAAATGAGAGGCACAGGGGTACATGCAGATGATTAAGAATTAATATAATGCCAGGCACAGTGTTGCACATCTGTAGTCTCAGCTACATGGGAGACTGAGGCAGAAAGATTCTGTTTGAGATCAGCCTGGGCAACTTGGTAGGACCATGTCCCGAAATAAAAATAAAAAAGCATGAAAAACTTGGGGTGCAGTTCAGTGGCAGAGTGTTTGTCTGGCATGTACAATGCCCTGGGTTCCATGACCAGGACCCGTTCCTCACAAAAAAAGAATTAATAACACTACCTTCCAGGTTCTGTTTAAATATGTATCTCTAAATCACTTTCAGTGTAGTCTATTTAGAGGATGCACTCTCAACTGGGGAGATCTCCCATGACAAAAATTCATTCTTAATAAAGACTTAAAAAGCTTCAATATTACAATGACCTAAGATATTCAAAGGGGTGCCATATATAAGGATATACTAAATATATATTTGGTATTCAAATTTCACTGAGGGAAGTCAGGCATGGTTGTCCATACTTGTAATCACAGCCCTTAGGAGAATGAGACAGAAGGAACACAAATTTGAGTCCAGCCTGGAAGCCTGAGACCCTGCATCACCATTAATTAACTAATAGATAGAGCTAGGGATGTAGCTTAGTATGAAGGCCCTGGGTTCAGTCTGTAGTACCACAAAAACTTCATTGGGGGAATATAAAAAAACTCTTTTGGGGTTCATGACAATGATAAAAAAGGGTTGGGGCACACTTAGAGGAATGCTATTTTTGCTCATCTTACATCTGTAATAACACTGGAAGCACCTTTGTGGTTCAAGCCCCTCATTTTATAGATAGGAAAACTAACAGAGGCCTGGAGACACGATCAGCTCATGAATCTGCACTATGGCTATGGCATTTTTTTCCTCTGACTTCAGTTTGTTATCCTTTTGGAGAAAATGATCGTGTGTGTGTGTGTGTGTGTGTGTGTGTGTGTGTGTGTGTGTGTGTTTGTGAGATTGAATCCAGAGCCTTCACACCAACCTACTGCCCCAGACCTTTTTTTTAAATTTTGAGGGAGGGTCTTGTCCAGTTGTTCAATTGCCCATGCTGGGCTTGAATGGATGATCTTCCTGCCTCACCATCTCAGAGTGCTGGAATTATAGGAGTGTACCACCACACCCAGCTTGGTGCTGCAAGATCTGTCGGAGTTCTTCCAGCTATGCATTTGTGAATGAAAAGTGACTTTCAAAAATCAGGATGTAAAAATTAATTCCCAAATGGGAAAACCACAGAGCCGGAGGAAAATAACCTTGTAGGACAAGAGAGAAAGGAGGTAGTTTACATACACATAAGGAGATTTTTGTAAAACAGTGTTGAATTTGTTTGAAGCCAGTACTTTTCCACAGTAGCTGAAGAAAGGAAACCATAGAATTCCTTCAGTACATGAAAACTAAAGAACATTTATTGTAAAGAGAGTCACTTACAAAGAGAGATTCTGTAAGACTGGCAACTAATCATTTTATAGTTGTACTTAATCCTTTCTCAGAGACAGCTTCTTTGCATTTTGAAAATTGAAACTTTCACAGTTGTATAGAAAATATTTTGATAAAAGGTGTACAAGAAAATTAAAATAGCTAAATCTGTATTATATTGGTTCTTTTAAATAAAATACGGTATTAGTGAAAATCTTATACCCAGCTATCAAAAATCAAAAATATTAAATCCTGTTATAAAATACTCACTATAAAAGTGTCAAATATAATATTCATTACACATGAAAAAGAAATCAGTATGTCTAAGTCAGTTTAATCATGACCATTATCAGGGCTAAAACCTTTTGTGATAAAATTTTACTAAACTAAAATATTTAGTAGTGCTATATTTTTTTGACTTTTTGACACACTATTAACCCATCATTTACAATGAAAGTGATGCAGTTATTGTCAACAGCCATCCTGCAGCTTCACATTTTTCATGACGATAGCATCAACCTGTTACTCTCCTCTCGGGGCTGGGGTCGACGCGCTCACAGAGACTGGACGTGTCCGTTGCCCATAAGGCTTCCAAAAAGCAGAATTTAGTCACCAGCACTGTGTAAAGGACACTGTAGCTTAATAAGTTTAGGATTATAAACTAGTCACAGTGTTGATTTGGCTTCTGGTTTAGCAAAATGATGACGCTAACAGCGACAATAATACCACCAACCACATAGGATACCTCAGCTGAGTTTCGTCTGCCCAGCCAGCCTCAGTGTCATGATAATAGAACCCTAATCTAGTTCCTTCCTCATCACAAGCAATTCATACCTTGTCCTCTCTGCTTATCAGGGTTTCTCAGCCTGGACACTCTTGGTATCTCAGCCAGCTAATTCTCCTTTGCAGAACGTTTAGCAGCATCTCTGGCATCTGCCCCATTGGCGCTCCGTGTCCCCAGTGGTGACAACCCAAAGTGTTTCCAGATATTGCTAAATGTTCCCCAGGGGAAGGGGATAAAATTACCTCCAGTTGCAAATCATGTGTTTATATGAAAGAAAGAAGAGAGTGTCATGTTGACAAGTGATTTTCCTGTTTTAGTTCGAGAAGTTTGGCAAAGCTGTGAATTATGCTGATGCGGCTCTCTCCTTCACCGAATGTGGCAACGCCATGGAACGTGACCCTCTGGAAGCCAAGTCCCCGTACACCATGTACTCTGAGACTGTGGAGCTCCTCAGGTGAATAGTCTTTGTGCAGTCATTTTTTTCTGAGCTCATTTCAGCCAGAATTAGAAGCTGTGTTTTTTTTTTAAATATCATTTCCACATATTAATGATATATCCCAGGCATCTTCTTCCGAAGCCATCATAATTAATTCTCACCATTTTATTAATGTCACAAAAAATTTATAATTGATGGACACTGCTTTTATAAATTATCCCCTTCAGAGGTTATAACATGGGTCTTATAATTTGTGGTATTCATAAAATTAAAATGGAAATTGCAGGTAGAAGTAAAGAATCATCATCTCACTCTTTGGATCGACTTGTCTTTTCAAAGGTACAGTTTTATAATTCAAAACAAAGTGGTGCTCTCAGGATTTCTATTACAAGCTGTGTTTTCTAAGAATTTCAATCTTGGTTATTAAAAAGGGAGGGGGTACTACTCCAACTCAAAGTTAGTATAGAAGGCCGCAGGTGTAAAGCAGATTTTCTCTGCATCTGGAATAAGAAAAGCACACAAGGCAGTGGCAGGGGTAGGGTAGAGAAGACAGGGCGAAAATAGAAAAGGGTATATTAATTGCACACATTATTGCTTCCATTTACATTTTAAATGAAATTTTCTGGCCTGTCGGTCTTGGTGGAGTAGAATTTATGGGAAGCAAAATAAAATGTCCTAGAAGCAGATGAAGATGGGATAGGAGAAGAAGAAATATCCACTCTGGTATTTTCAAGCGATTCCCAAATATTAGTAAAAGGAGTTAATCCATCCCCAAATACTAGAGAAGTGCCCTCATTCGCAGAATGGACTAGTTACCCCTTTTAATCGAGTGAGCAGCTCTTTGCCTGACAGACCCTTCTGTCCCGCTTCCCTCTCTCTCCATCACCCAATAATGCCAGGCTTGGTTCATGTGCTTGTGCTTCTTCTATCCACGTAAACTGTTACAAATCTGAGTACACTTGTACCTAAGCCTTCCCCCAAATATTGGACAGATTTCATGTGCACGTTTTCCCAGTGAGGTATTCCAAAAGAGGAAAAGAAAAGAGCCATTGCAAAAACCAACTCTGCTTGCTTAGAATGGGAAGTATAGTTAGAAACACAAAGGTAAGGAAAATCCAGCTTTCTGTTTGAGCTGCTCCCGAACGTAGGCACCAGAGGGGTGTAAAGGATTTCCCTTCATTTAGTTCATGCACTGTGAGATCCATTACTCCACAATTCAGTAGCTTTCGAGGGGAATTTAATTCCTTAGTGTCTACCTGCAGTTTTTAAAGTTACATAAGCTGAACATTCTGGTCAAAAATTATAATGATTTGGGGGCTGGGGATTTAGCTCAGCGGCACAGCGCCTGCCTGGCAAGTGCAAGGTCATGAGTTCGATTCCTGGTACCGGAAAAAAAACAACAAAAAAAAATTATAATGATTCAAAAATTGAGGGAGAACATTAATGAGCAAAGATGGTGATAATTTATGCTCTCTAGTCATTCAAATTGAAAGAAGACATATTAAGTTAACAAGAAAATATAACTATGTTCATACCTAACAGTAGCAGAAAAAAGAAAATGAATCATGATGAACTATGTCTCTCCTATAATGCAGTCAGGAGTAGAAACTGATCACTGGAGAATGAGAGCCATTTGGTGCCGTATAGGAAAAGCCATACAAGCCAACATTTATGTCTTTAGATCTAGTCCTTCAGCTTCTAGGCATCTGAACTTTCTCTACTGAGGAAGATAATTGTAACAGCACAGCAAGTTATCTGTTTGTTGTTGGCTTCGGCGTATATACACATATACACGTACATATACACACATACATACAATTACATATACATATATATATATACAATTAGAAGCAAATCAATAATAGAAGAGTAACTAATTACATCATAAAATGTTCAACAATACTCTGCAGCCATTGCAATAAAATAATGGTAGACGGACCAAGCAGCACATGAAAATTTTTATAAAATGATTTAAAGTAAAATCAAGGCTGGGAGTGTGTCTTAGAATTAGAGCACTTATCTGCCATGTGGGAGACCCTGAGTTCCATCTCCAGCAGTGAGAAAAATAAAGCTCAAGCTGCAGAATTATATGCACAGGACAATTGTGACCATGAAAAGGTCATACATAGCTGGATCAAACTGGAAGGGAAACAAAATCAGCTGTAACGGGGAGGTAAGATTCTGGGCGTACAATTTTTCTCTTTATGCATACATTTTTTCTATTAATTTCTTTTACAAGAAAATACATGGTTGCAAAAATATAAAAAGCAAAATACCAAATTTCATTGTGTGGCCAAAGTGTGATGTAAGTCACTAAGTAATATTTATTTCCATTAGAAAACACTTCTTTGACCTTGTTTCCAAAAATTTCTTTTTTCTAAGGATAATGTATTATTTCATTATATGATATTTTGCTCACCATGGATATATATTTCAGTGCAACCTGATCAAAGTCAGTAGAGTTATTGGAATTCATTTTTAAATCAATATATTTAAATTTTATTTCGAGGTAATTATGTGCAGTTGGAGAAACGAACAGAGAAGTACTGTTCACCCTTCGCCCACTTCACCACCAGGGTGCTGACACTGACACAATTCGTAGACTGTTCCCATTTCACCACTTGTATTTATTTTTTCAGATTTTCTCAGTTTCTCCTGGGCTCATTTCTGTGACTTATCTACATTTTTTATTTTTATATTTTCTGTAAGTTGCATATGTGGATGTTTTTTAAATGAGAGAATTTTCCGTTGGGACTAAAACGAGTTTAGGCAAGTAGGTCTTCTGGTCCATTTAAGCAATTGAAACTCCACTATCAAGTCACTTCAAATGTGGTTGCAATTAGAGGGTGACTGTTATATGAACATCGTTTTTAGTAGTGCAAGATTATGTTGAAGAGATTTTTATTACTCTCTTCCCGACAGTATACTGGCTATGGAGAGAAAGCCCCATTTTTTTCATTCAAGTAATTATAGTTGCTCTGAGCCCTGGGCATCGGCAATGGAAATGTATTTGCAAAAACAAGTGGGGTATCGCAGTGGCTTGACATTTCAGTGATCTAGCTGTCAAGAAAAGTCAGATTTATTACATAATAAAAATCTCTTTGCTTAATATTGAAACAACAATAGGGACCTGCGTGACGTGTGCAAGTCCTTTGTTGGAAAATATCCAGGCAACAGAACTAGAGCAGGAACCCAAAGACAGAACAGACAGAAGGCTGAGGAGGTCCAAAATCTCGGAGCTTCAGCCTAGGGTCCCCAGTGAAAAGGAAGCCGCTGAGCAGGCAAGGGTGGCAGCCTGCAGGCTCTCTGGTGCCTTCTCAGAAATGACAAGTAGTGCAGGCTCCCTGCTCACGCGCTTGAAACTTCCTTCTGCCACACTGAACTCCATTACTTATTCTACCACAAGGACCTGTGAAATTGCATTAAAGCTCAGACAATGATTTTATGCAATGAATTGATTTTCAAGAGCCTAAATGCCCAGAGTGGAATGTGCTTGGGTAGAAGAAAAAAATGAGAAGTACTCAACCTTTTATCACCCCAGCGTGGAACAGTAACAATTAAAGAGAATGGAAAGACAAAATATACAAGGACCATAAATTAAGGGTGCTCAGGCCTCAAAATGCTGTGAAATCGACCTTCCCTTAAATTAAGGAAAAAAAAAACTTTCTTTAAGAATATACTCAAAACCTGAGCCATTAGAGAAGACGTTTTAACTGTGTGACGAAGGTCTCCCTGTGCCCATGCAAAACACTGTCGTTTCTTATTTGTATCATCTGTCATAAATTAAGCAGAGACCTAGATTTTTGTCCATCTTTCCTTGCAAACCAATGATGTTCTTTAGCTAGAATGTTCTAGAAATGCTATTTTGCCAGCATTTATACACACGCAAGCTCACAGTTATTGCACAGCACTGTTCTGCCGCGTGGGCTTATGATTTCGCGGACTTCTCCAGAGCTCAGTTCTGTTTGGGTTTTTTTGTTTGTTTGTTTGTTTGTTTGTTTGTTTTTTGCAGTACAGGGGATTGAACTCAGAGCCTTGTGCTTCCAGGGCATGCACTCGTGCCACCGAGCTATATCCCCAGCCCCCAGAGCTCAGTTCTGGATGTTACATCAGTCCAGTTGTGCTGTTTCGACCATCATTTTGTGTATGTTTTCAGGAGAGCACCGGTCAGTCCTCCTGCCCCATGCTAACACACTCCGGCTATCAGAATGCCATCTACTTTGGGTGATGTCTGAAGGGTCGCCCAGATTCCACTTACATTTTTCCTTTCTCTCCAAAGGTATGCAATGAGGCTGAAGAACTTTGCGAGCCCCTTGGCTTCGGATGGGGACAAAAAGCTGGCAGTATTATGGTGAGTCCTTGCATCCCATGGAGACCCCAAGGAAACAGTTGAAATACCACAGAATGATTTGAAAACTCCAGATCAACTTAAGCTGCTTTCCTCAGATCAGCGTTCTTATTTTCCGTTGAACTGTTAAAAGCTAACGGATTGTTTCAGTCACTGACTAAACATTTACTCTCCTAAGTTATACCCTTATCAAAATGGGGTTTTAATGCTTCCCTCTTCTTTCTTAAAAATATTCTTTATTGGCTTATGTTGCTCCGTCTAACCATAGGTGAGAATCTGCAACATCCGAATCAGCATTTGTTCATTGGTTTCCCTAGGCACTAGCATTAACAATCTTTTCCTTATCACTGCAGCTACCGATGTTTATCACTTCTTTACTTGAGGATGTTTAAACTGAAGAAGGACCATGCTATGAAATACTCCAGATCACTGATGGAATATTTTAAGGTAACTCTTATTTTGTATAATTTACAGTACAGGGTGATAAAAACACTAATGAAACATGGCAGATGTATTACTAAATGTCAAATGACAATGGAAATATTATTGCTGTCAAAGGCTTAACCTCTCTCATCCAGCCTGGCCATGGCTCTCCCACCCCTCCCTCAGGGCTCAGCGGGGAGCTCACATCCAGGGCACACCTGCTGATTCCTAGCTGAAAAGGTACAATGGTGCAATCCCCTGACTATTTTTTGCCTTTGGCAGCCTCTCCATTGCAGTCAGCGGTATGTTGCCCTCACCCACCTACAGGGTAGGTACAGTTTGTGTTTGTGGGGATGGCCAGTCTCTTGTTAACCAAGAGGAGCTTAGGATTTCTTCAGCAGTAAGAGATGTCACTGTGGTTGCCCTGGCTCTGGGTGGACAGCTATACCTCTGAAAGCCTGCTAGTCCTGGGGCATATGGGAATGCAGTGGCTGCAGTTTACGGCAATCAATTGTGTTGATTAAAAGAACAGTGCAGACAAATAATGCCATCATCTAGATAGCTGGCACTTTTCATTTGTAAGCAAAAAGTTAAAAGACAGGCAGCCACAATTCTGCAATGGCAGAATTTGGGAATGGGCTCAAAATAAAACTTGCAAGCAATAGCTGGGTGCTAGCTGGGACTGGCCAGTATACCATCCAACATGGCTTCTGTCCTCCAATGCTAGCAAGGACAAGGAGGTGGGGAGGTGTGATGCTTCCTTCTGTTGGCCAGGTCTCAGAAGGAAAGCACTTTTTTTTTCTTCTTTTTGCCATGTGCACAAGACCATTTGTCTGAATTGCACCAAGCAGTTGTTTAAATCGAATCAAATCATGACCTTAGGTTTGGAGCGGGGCCTGGAAATACTTTTCTAACAAGTTACCATGTGATGCTGCTGCTGCTGGCGTTGCAGTCATACTTTGAGATCCACTGCCGTGGTATCTGTCTCCATGGCCTGTCCCGTGTAGCTTCCACTGGTGCTGAGTAACCCATTCATCTGGGAGCATGCTAAGCTTCTTCAAGGTTAAACTAGCCTGGAGAATGCAAGTTAGGTTTGGGTTTCTATAGCTCTAGGGAAGCACTGCATTTCTACTGAACTCCTAAAGGTGCCAGTCTTCTCCCTAATACCCCTTTTGCAAACGGGGCCAGGCTGGGGGCCGAGAGGCTGTGGAAGAGTATCAACTGGGCTGCGTTTGCCCATAGTAAGACTAAGTGAGGCTCGGTGCCACATGTGTTCTGACTGTCTGAGCTTCTTAAGCTTCAGCCTGATCTCTACCGTATCATGGTGATGCCAAATGTCACCTCTCCCTCTGATTCACATCGTGTGGCCGTGGAAGTACACGAAGCTGATTCTTTCCACCAGCCCAGTTCCAGCAGTGGAACAAAAGAATGTTCGTTCAGCCTTCCATGTTCCATTGCATTATAGCTCAGGATGGGTTACATTGCTAAACAAGTCATCAGCCGTGAAAATTTGCATGTAAACATAGCAAATCAAGATGATTCCTGAAAACAAACCAAAAAGCATTGCTCGGTTCTGGCACATTCTTAGGCTTTCACAAATTATAGCCCACCCTGTATCACAGGGAAAAAGTTTGCAAATGGAGCTAAAGGTGAAAAGCTTACTTGTACTCTGAAGAGCTTGTTTTGCAGAATAAATTTCAGATGAGGATAATTAAACCACTTCTTGGAGAACCGAGTCTGATTTCACTGGGCCTTTTAGTATATAAGATCTTTCATCAAGTGACTTTCATGGTCCTGATTGGAGCCCACTAATTATCCTAACCAGCTATTTTCATCGAGTGTGCGACGTGGTGTGCTGACGTGCACATACATCCCAGCTCTGCGTCCCGAAATGCTGCAATCAATATTAATGTACTCTAAATCACACTTCCATCTGTTTCTGAATTAATAAAACACAAAATAGATGTCCTTATTTCCCTCCTTCTCTCTTTCTCTTTCTTTTAGCAAAATGCTTCAAAAGTCGCTCAGATACCATCTCCATGGGTGGGCAATGGAAAGTAAGTATTTTAGAAAAATTACTTTTGCATGAAAATGAGTGATTGAATAGACCCCAGATATTTTGTACTGACAACTCCAAATTCTTTTACTATTTGAACTTTAAGCCAAATGATGACCATAAAAATATTTGCTAATGAGATGGCAAGTACTATGCCATTTTAAGGAGGCAGGGTCAAGTTAACTCCGCTGCAGTGATTTGTCAATGATTCACTTAGTAATGAGAGACCAATGAAATATTCACTGATATATGGTAAGTGATGTTTAATAAAACTACAAGCATAATAGAGCTGAAATGTGAAGGCACTTAGTCAGCCAATTATCTGAGCTTGCGTGAGGATTTTTATATTAATACTAAAATACCACGACCTCAAATATGAAAGCATCTACTCTTCTGCCAATGGAGGCTCAATGAACTCTCCCAGGTCCACAACTTTGGTTAGCTCTTTCTGCACAGCAATGGTGCAAAAATTGACTTAGACCTGAGGCTTCCTACCCATCATGGGGGGGGATCAAATTGGGCCCCCTATCCTCTAGGTTTGTTTCTCTATCTCTAAAATGAAAGGGCCGGATCTCATCTCCATAAGATATGTTCCTTATAGAGGACGGTTTTGAATCCCAGTTCTGCCTGCGCCATGAGCTGACTGCATACCTTTGTGAACTCACCTCATCCACCATGTGTCCTTGAATTCCAGACCCTCCCTCCCTGCTCCCAGTGCACTTCCCACCAATAGGAGCAAGGGAAACTAGACGACTGTGGACAATGAGTTCTCACAGCACCCACTTTATAACTCCAAGCTGCTTTTTCAATTTCTCATCCTTTCAACATTCTTGCATCTCTGATGAAAACACTTTCTTCAAGAGTAATGTAGTCTCCACTGTTACTTTATAAATATCTACAAAGCATACTCCAAAAGCAGTGGGACAATGCACTCTACTTGGAGATCATAAAAACATTCAGAACAAGGGAACAGATCCATTAAAAACTACACATTAACTCAATTACTGTATTGAAAGGAAGCACTGTTTAAATTGTTGAATTAGGTCCTACTCTTACACTGATGAACAAAAGGAAAAGAATACATCTCTCTGGAAGTTTGGAAAATAAAAACAACCATTGAGAGGCACAGAGAAAGCTATTTTCTCTGAGCACAGAATGAAGCAAGGGCAAGGTCAGGTAAGCAGCTATTAAAGGATCATTGGGAAAATTTTTTTAAATTCTATAATGAAAGATCTCAAGCACATTCTAAGCTTGTGAAGTCACATTAAAGCCTCCTGAAATGACTTTTAAGCAGCTAGTATCTGAAGAAAGCATACTTTTTTTACTTCCTCTGGTAGGCTGGTAAGCTTTTGAATGAGGCAACTCCAAATAGTCACCCAGGAGTTAGATTCTGCTCATTCTGCAGACACTTCAGGTGCATCTGCTCTGTGTCAGGATCTATGCAAGGTGCTGGGGACGCAGAGATAGATGGCATGTGGTCCCCGCATGCCAGAAGAGCACAGTCAAGTGGGTGAAGGTGACAAAGTGCTAAGGAAGGCCAGGGAGATGATCTTGGGTCTTGCTGCACGGCCAGAGAGGGCTCCTCGCCTACAAGCCCAGTGAAGCCCCATGAGCGAGGTTTCCCAGTGAATGAGGATGATGGGCCTGGCCAAGGCCTCCTCACCACACTTTGCAGGGACAGCGCCCCCAGGCTGCAAACCTTCCTCCACTGGCTGGCAATGGGGACATCCATTTGCAGAGGTGCTCATGGCGCCTCACTCCTGCAGGAGGCCCCCACAAGAAAGTTCATGGAAAGGTGAGCAGCACGCTCAGAATGGACTCTCAGAAGCTAGCCTCCATAGTGCTGGGGGAAAGGACAGCAAAGTAAAAGAAGAAAAATCTGTTTGTATAGGGCAAGCATAAGCAAACTTGTTCTGTAAAGGGCCAGATACTACATATTTTGAGCTTGTACGCCCAGAGGAAAAACCAGGAATATTATACAGAAGATTTTAAGAGCAAACAAATCCATACAACATTTTCACTGATGAAATTCAAAATATAACAACCAGTACAACTTTTGAAATATATGTCTACTAATAAGTAGAATAGAATTCTTTTTTTTTTTTGTTTGAAATAGCATTTTGCTCCATTGAGGTCCAAATGTAGTGTTTCCTCTTACCAGATCGCTTGCAAATGTTCATCTTTTCAAACTATCCACTGTTCCACGCAGTACAGAAATGGGAGGCAGGCCAGATTTACACACCCACGACAGGGAGTTCCAAAAGCCCCGTGTGGAGAGTTGAAAAGGGCTGGGCAGTAATCTCACATGGCAGAAAGATACAATCCAAAAAAAGAAGGCAAGTTAATTCTGGAAGTAGAGGCCACTTGAAGCCACCTAGAGGGGTGGATTCAGTAGACAGGTGGGTGTGGAGTCCATGTTACAGAAGTGAGAAGCAGGGATAGCCTCACTTGTTTGAGACCTTGCCCAGTGCAAAAGAATGCAGGTGTCTGGCTGTCACTGGAGGGACCGTCCAGGTCAGGCACAGCCTTCTCCCCAAGCTCAGAGAGGGCCCTGCTAGTGTGAGCACAGATGACACTGGAAATATACAATGTGTACACAGAGGTGACATGCAGATGGACACACAGCTGATGAAAGAATTTGAGGAGACATGATGGGATGGAAAGAGCAGGAGCTTTGGAGGAAATCACAGCTGCTATCAAATCTCTTGGCTTTGGGCAAACTGTTGTGTGGCCCTTGGGGAGCAGCTGAGCTTTTATGAGACTGTGGCAGCAGAATCTTCCCTGCGGACTTTCCTGAGGCCTTGGAGACAACGCTGATGAAGCCCTGGGAATGGTGCTTGCTGCTGATAGGTGGTCAACAAATGGTGGCTTAGCTGCTGCCACACTTATTGTTGACGCCGTAACCTCTGTAGTTGAAACACATCAGCAATCCTTCCCCTTTAACTCCTGCAGCCTTTGGTCTATGCTCCCTTTTGGCACGTACTCTATATTGCCAGAAAATAATGGGCTTTGCTCCTCTAGTAAACTTTTCTCTTCTTAAATAAGGAGCCATTCATCTTCTCACTCACCAAATATTTATTGAGTACCTACTATGTATGAGACACTCTGCCGGGCTCTTTGCAAACATATCCACCATCCTTGTGTTGTACAGGCTGTTCTCTTTCTACTCTTCAGAGTCCACTCTATGAAGCAGATACTAAGTAAGGAATGGGGGAAATCCATTCATGTATTATGTTGGTGTTCATTGAGCACCTATTATGTGCCAGGCACTGTTCTAGAGCTGGCATATAGCACAGGATAAAAGGGACAAAACTCCCTGCTCCTACTGGAATCACATTCTCTTGGGGGAGAAAGATAACTGAAAACAAGCGAACGGTACATGATAGTAAATGTGATGGAGAAAATTGAAGCAAGGAAAGAGGACAGAAAGGGCTGCTGAGGAAAGGGGAAGGAGCACCTGTACGGGCTTGAACAGGCATATTCGGAAAGGATGAGAGTAAAGCACGCCATGCCAGTATCTGGGAGACATGCATTACAAGCAGAAAGAAGTGAGTATCAGGTGAGTTTACAGACGAGCAAGGGGCTAGTGTGGCCACAGGGGAGAAGGGTGTTTGTGGAAGAAGTGGTGAGAAGTGTGTGCTTATGTGGGCGTGCTCCCTGACCTGTGCCTCGGATGTGCGGGGGGGGGGGGGGTACAAGATCCGTGAGTAGAGCCACAGAAGAGCACAGCAGCACTACCCCTAAGAGTGCTGAGGGCTGGCTTGCGGTTGCACTGCACCCGAGGACTGGGAGCTCTGCATATGGCGTCTCTTTCCCATGGTCACAATCCCTCAGGCACGGTGTCGCTCTTCCATTTCCTGATGTCACTGTGCTGTGCAGCCCTGCTTGTCGGACTGGCACTTGATAGGACCTAGTCCGAGAACAGCGATGACCCCAAACAAACCCTCGCTCCTCCTGCCTCTAAGGTTGACTACTTCAAAGAAAGAAAGCACTACAAAGAAAAGGAAGCCACTCAATAACACTTCAGTATAATATGTGAAAAAAATGTTTTTAATTGACATATAATAATCATATTCATTTATGAGATGCAGTGCAGTAATTCCACACATGTAGTCATGTTTAATGATCAAATCAGGGTAATCAACACTTCCATCTTCTTAAATGTGTATCACTTCTTTCTACTGGGAGCCTTTGAACTCCTCTCTTCTAGCTGTTTACAAAATGCATGCACTGTTAGAAACCATAGCACTACTGTGCTGTAAAATGCAAGCACTCGCTCCTCTTACCGAACTGGCCCTTGGTACGTGTTACCCAGCCGCTCTCTGTCCCCCACTTCCCAGCCTGTAATAACCATGATTTTACTTCCCGCTTTTATGAAATCAACACTTTTTGCTTCCAGATATGAAGAGAAAAGAGATTTTCAAACTGTCTGAGATATAGAGGTGATTGATTTTCCCTTGTGCTTTCTGGACATGATTGGAAATCACTGAATCAAACTTCTGTTTCAGTCTAAAAAAATGTAAAGCCCAACCAGGAAAAGGGGCATGCTGAGGAACAATTCTGCGGCAGGGCTAAGGCTGGAATCCAAGTCTCTCGGGATTCCAGCACCACAGTCTCTTTTTTAACATTGGCGGCACCTGACAGTGTTGTCATTTTCACTAGAGATTACAAATGAGAAAATATTCCTTTCTTGCCATAAACTGACATTTAAGACTTAATGGCCACTGCTGACAGAAAAGACAAGAAAATAGCATTTGCAACCTACGACAATAAAGAAATCCAGCCTTCCCTGCTTGTTTTGTCATTAGCAAGCTATTTTGTGCTGAGGTCCCTTATCTTGGGCATCTCCCCCATCCTGCTCCTGTCCTGAGCACAAAAATAAAAATCTTTCCATCAATAAGTCAGAAAATATCTCAGAAATCATAAACATAGCAGGAATCCCTCATACATTCTTAAACCAGACATGTGCAGAGCAAGTGCGAGGATCCACTTCCCCCCGAGACCAGACTGTACAGAAGATACACTCTGTCAGCAGAAATGCTTCCAGGGGCTCCTGTGGCCGTGGGCACAGTGGCTGTGAATCTCCAGGAGAGCATTTCAGCTGTGATTGCTCCCGCTGCGCTCAGAGCTCCTAAGTAGCACTCCAGCATGTGGGTATGTTGTGATTGCCGCTAGCCCAAATCAGATGTGTGCGCTGCTCGTCAGGGTGTGCATGCATTCTGGGAGCAGGTGTAGGCTCTGAGAAACACAGCCATCCTGGAAATCCAGAGTTGCCAACTACAGCAGCTGGTAAGGGGACGTGGGTAGGGGATGATGGGCCTCACTGATGATGCTGGGGCTTGGATAAGGTTCTTTCAAATATGCAGATTCTAAGGGTCCCAAACACAGCTGGCCAGCCTTCCTTTCCTCCTTCCCTCCCTCCTTCCCCTCCTTCCCTCCTTTCTCCATCCCTCCTTCCTCCATCCTGCCCTCCCTCCTCTCTCCCTTTCTCCTTTCTTTCTTTCTTTCTCTCTGTCTGTCTGTCTTTCTTTCTTTTCTTTCAGGGGACGGTCTTGCTGTGTCCCCAGGTTCTCCTCAAAGTGCAGTCCTCAAACTCCCACCCCAGCCTCCAGAGCAGCTGGGACTATAGGCATGCGCCATGGCACTCAGCTTCTCATTCCTTGTACTTCCTCAAAATGTCCCCTGATAGAGTGGTTCATTTGCCCAGGAAGTTTTTCAGCATGTGTGAGTGCGGGAAGATAGACAGGCCGAGGGGCACATAGACCTTACAGCTATACCAGAGATGCCACTAATGCACTAAGGACTGTCCCTGGGAAAGTCTGAAACTGGCCAGCCTAAGTCCAGGCCCCGCAAGAAAAATACCCCCTTGCTGAGTGCAGCCGGAAGGCAACTCCTTGTTACTACTGTTGAAGAATGCAATAAAATTCGGCATGCAAACACCGATACAGCCCAAAGTAGGAACTCTGAAGCCTTCTTTTATGAACTGGCATGCAAACGAACAGTCACCAACTAACCTCCCATCTCTGTAGTATGTCTTAAAGAGTCCTAAAGCATTCTATTTTTCCCAGCTTCCCCAATACTGCTCCTTGGGGGGCTTTTAAGACCTATACTTGCCTTATTGTCGTAAACATATTTGGAACAAACTGTCACTGTGGTTTCTATAAAACACTTTGATAATAGACGAGTATTGCACATCAAGTGTTTTCCAACTGCTAGTAGCCATTCTGGCAGCCAATAGAGAAAACCCTCGTAGCCCTGAGCTGTTTCTTTCTCTCAAACATCACAATACTATTTCATATATATTCAAAGCAATCGCTATATTTGTGGGTAAAATTAATGCCAAAGATTCACCCAGTACTCTCCGTATTTAAAAACAAAATCAGCAGTGTGCACAGCGCCCTCAGTAGTTGGCAGAGGCAATTGAGGGCATAAGTGTTTCAGGTTAGAATTGGCCCGGCACTGGAGCCTAGGGTAGATTCGTCAGAGGAGGCCGAGTGGATGGGGTGATGATAATAAGCTCTCTAGGCGCCAGAGTCTCTGGAGAAGGCCACTATGCTCACATAGATTGCACAATGTGCTCTGAGAAGAACCACAAGAAGTGGAGACAAATTGCCCTCCAGTGGGTCTTCACATCTGTTCATGCCCAACTTTGTCCTGGTAAATGGTGTTCTTAGGAGATCCCAGTGTATCCGGGGAGGCCTAGAGGCCCGCTGTCAGTCTCCGCTACCAGCCTAACAAGTCACACCTCTTTCCACTCCCCAGGACCACTCCTTCCCCAGTATCTCTCAACAATGTCTCTCCCATCAACGCAATGGGGAACTGCAACAACGGCCCGGTCACCATCCCCCAGCGCATTCACCACATGGCCGCCAGCCACGTCAACATCACTAGCAACGTGCTACGGGGCTACGAACACTGGGACATGGCTGACAAGCTGACAAGGGAGAACAAAGGTACGCCTGTATGCTCTGCCCCTGTGCCACAGACCCTCACAGACTCACCTGTGCTTTGAAGGACTTGGGGTTTACTTGGTAGCCTTCTGCCTTTTAGTTTCTCTGATTTCCAAGTTGGCTTTGGGCTGCCACAGTGATCTATTTTACAGGAAGAGTGAATAAAGCCTGGAATTTGGTTCTCCTTTTTTTTAAAAATTTATTTAAAAAAATGGTTCTCCTTTAATGCTTAAATAAATGAGCTGTGGTGTATTGGCAAATAAATATTTCAGACATTACTTAGTGACAGGGATCAACAGAGAAACAGATGCAAAGGGATAAAGAATGATTTGCAAATTAATCAAGATCCAATTGGCTTCTGTTAACTGTATTTTTTGGGGGAGGTAAGGTTGAACGAAAACTGTCGACCTTCATTATAATCATCAACTCCAGTTGAATGTTTGATGATATAGCTTGCATCTGGAAGCAGAGACCAAGCTCAGCTAGCATTTTGCACATCCCCATAGCTAGAATGAAGGATCAGGGCCCTCTTTACAGGAATGCATGAGGTTGCCTACCAAAACAAGTGAGCAAAGGGTCCGGTTCCCTAGAGCACGGCTCAGTGATCACTGGTGACTCATGCTGCTATAACCTTAGCAGTCACTGATGCTCACAATAAAGCTTCACCATCCTAATGAAGTAATAGTAAGAGCATGCTTTTGCCCTGGCCACTCATTGGACTTAGCTAATTCTGACCCAGTAGTCACAAATGGTCCCACTGCACTCTAAGTGGGGGCAGATATGGGCCTTTGAGAATCAGACTATAAAGAAGAGACAAGCGATATAGAGCAGTAGAACTTTCTGGCCAGTCATGATCAAAGTGGAACGGGGTGGCCTTGGGTGCTACTAGGTCTCGTGCAGTTTCATGGATTTCTGAGGATCAGGTTGAGGATGCAAACCACATATATATGGTAGCAATATTCCTGGGGTTGACAGAGAAGGGAGTACTAGATCCCCTGGCTCAGTTCTTCTCCCAAACCCAACCCCAGTTCTTCCCAGAATCCTTATATCCCAGGGAGTTCTCCTTTCCTGTCCACTCAGGCTGGGCTTTCAGCCTGTTTCTCTTCCCTACTTAAAACTGCCAGTCTAATCTCTAGGTTGGTTCTCCCCAGAGCCTGATCACAGAATGAGACACAGCCATCCCAACCCCTTCTTCCTTGTTACCCATTACCACTGTATTGCTGAGCATGCGTACAAGCAGTCCCACTAGAGCAGGAAGAATGCAGATTTTGCAGCCTGGAAATTTGCAGCCTGGATCATGCACTACCTGGACAACCTTTGCTAGTTACTTAAATCTATGGACTGCTTCCTAGCATCCACCTCTTTAATGGATATAATAGTGATGACAATGTCAAAACCACCCAGAAGTTAATGAAATAATATATGTAAAGCATGTAGTATAAAACATAGGTACAAAGTAGCAATCCTAAAAATATGTGTTCTCCTTGTTAGTCCATAGTACTTGTATAACTCAAAGATGCTCTGTATTTCAAAACACATTCCACAGTTTAAGACGTAAGCCCTCAACCCCACTATAAACTTGTACCAGCTCCTGAGAATATGTGCATATATTGGTTGCATCAGTTTGTTTTCCAATTTTTACATCCCAGTACTTGCTTATTATTGTCTCATTTATCCCTATTTGATAGATGAAGAAATTAAGGCTAAGTGAGGCTAAGAAAGACACCCATGATATAATAACTTCATGTTTGTTAGAAGTAGGCATTGCATTTAAAATTGTCTGATTCCAGAGTTTAAAATCTTCTTTTATTTTAAAGAGAAAAAAAAATAATAAAATAACAACAAAGACAATACCAAAACACCACAAAAGCAATAAAAACGATACAGGATTTCAAAATAAGAATGATAGGAATTAACAATGGTTGTTATATAACATATTGTTATCATCAAAGTTGCTCAGATTAGAGGAAGGGAAAAATATATATGTATGTACAAGGATTGCTGGGATAATTGTACTGCTGATGTCTATTGGTTTATTGAAATCTTAACTAATAGGCTATAGAGTCCTTCTAGAAAGCAAGATTAATAACAGGTCCTCAAGTCCCTCAGTGTGATCCTGAGCTACTAACTGGGCAATATGTAATTCTTACCTTGTCTGCTTTTCTACACTTGTTTGGAATTCCAAAAGCAGCTGGACCAGACAATCAAGCCCAGCCTAGGGTTCTAGAATTGCAAACAAAGACAGAAGCATCTTAAGATTTGTCTAGCTTGTCTCTCTTCACACTCTGTCTTCTTTTGTATTAGTAACTGGAGACCAGTTCAGTGTTTATGGACTTGCTTTATAATTCCATCCATTTTCAAAATCTGTTAAAGTAATTGTTTCTAAATTAACTGCAGCACTTTCCAGGATTAATATGGTGGTGGTGCTGATGTTAGGGCGAAATGATGCTAATCTTTTTGTTAGTACAGCCTATCAAGGAGTTGCTAAATTCTCTGCTTAATATTGAATCAAAGCAACTTTGTTGTTCTACCAGAAAAGACAAAATGTGTCCTGCCACTGCTACCATTTGACTTTTTGCTGGACTGGGGAAAGGACCTAGTTTGGAATTTTCTGCTCATAGCCTTGAATTTTGCACACATATCATCTCTGATCTGCTTAACTGTGGAGGTATTTCTCGCACTGGACTATCCAGACAGAAGTGAAGGAACAAAGGAGCTTCTCTTTTGATTCCCATCTGTATCCATTGTAGATAGCCATGTACTTGCACTTTTTCCAGCCAAAGGTGCAGTGGAGATGGGTGAGATTGGCTCTCTGTAGAAGTTCTCCACTCCTGACCCTTGCCTGCCCACCCGTGAAGCTGCAGATAGCTTTTGCACTATGGCCTGGTACTGATTCGTGCCAAGGGGGCTGATGCCGCCCTCTGGCCTTTGGCCTAGAAGCCCTGTCCCCTACTGGCCCCAGCTGTGTATACTGAAGCAGTCATTAAAATGGTGACCTGAGTATGTGGTTAAGAATGCCACAGAGAGCTTTGTACAAAATACCCAAGGGATGTCCTGGCTCATATGAAGCTCATATTCATTCTATAATAACTAGGTCCTTTAGTATTTTCCTTAGTATTGTATTACCTAAGAAAATATTTTAGATGCCACAAATAGTTTACTTCTTTATCAGCAGAAATTACTTTTATTGTATAGTACATGTTAAACAGTATCACATAATCAAATGAAGTTGAAACCTAGAGAAGAAACCCACATGTTATACATAGCATGAAGAATAAATGCATTGTTTAGTGAAAAACCATCTGCTGAGCAATCAAGCACATGCAATCCATGCATGGAAATTGCTTTCCAAGAAGGCATAGGAGCATCCTGACCACTTCAGAGCAAGCTCTGGTCCCAGCCCCGCCCAGGACCCAGATTCCTCACCCTGAGCTGGCACAGGTTTATGGCTAAAGCCCCCCTCTTCCCTCCTAGCAAAGGGGAAGCCAGAAAGCCCTGTTCTAAGCAAGTGTCAGTCAAATAAATTCTCAAGTGACGAGGGGACACCTAGCTAGTTTTTAGATATTATGTCATGTTGCCCACATGACCTCTTCTGCCTAAGGCGGACATTCACAGACGCCAGTCACACGGGTTAGTAGTGTAGCCTCCGGGCTGCGTCCTTCCTCAGGTCAGCCGGAGGGACTCAGCTGGGCCTTCTGACCAGTTGTGTCCTGGGTGGGGGCAGTGTTACTTGACAGAGACTCACAGATCATATCCCAGCCCAAATGTAATCAGTAAGATGTGCTAAATCAGAGCTCTCTGAGGTGTTTATTTAGCTTTGCATGCTGATGGCTGTAATTACTGTCCAGATGAACTAGCTTTATCTGCACTGTAACAAGAAAAATCGGTAAACTCAGTTCACGGAGACAAAAGATAATATTGGCACTTGAGCAACTCATGGAGTCACAAAGAAGCTGATATATAGATTGTAATAGTTATAAGGACCCGTTTTGTGCATTAAGGATCCTTTTCTAAATATATTTATAATATATAAAATCATAAATTTATTAAATAGTGTAAATATATTTAAACACATAGTATATGCAATTGATGTGTGAATTTTAAATATGCAACTATATCTTATCCATATATGGACAAATAGATCATATATTTATATTATATATGTATCTATGTAATTCTATATATTTGTATGTGTGTATATGTCATGAACAGCACACTTCCACAGGATGGTAATGTACCTTTAGAATACACTGTCTGAGAAAATATACCGTAAGTTGGGGGGAGCTTAGTGGAAGAAGGCATGCCTAGCATGTGTGAGGCCCTGAGTTCCAGCCCCAGTACTGCCAAAAAGAAAAATTAAAAGAAAATACACGGTGATGTTTAAAAACTTAGAATGAATTCAGTAGTAGATTTAAAAGAATTTTGTGTTTCTGTGAGTCAGAGGAACAACATCGTTCAGGCTGTAGAATATTTGCAGCTCAATAAAGATTACAGTGATAGTGTTTGATATGCAAATGGAATTTTGGTGCCTTAGGATGGAGTCTAAAAATTCCTGCGGAGGGAGGGAGGGAGGGAGGGAGGGAAGGATGGATGGATGAACAGACCGGCAAGTGATTTTCCCAATGTCCTTGTGATTGTGGTGGTACATGAAGGCAGCTTCTTAATGTAGTGTATATTTTAATGATATTTCAAAGCCTGACCAAGGACTCTTCTGATTTTCAGAATTCTTTGGCGACCTGGACACGTTAATGGGGCCTCTGACCCAGCACAGCAGCATGACCAATCTTGTCCGCTATGTTCGCCAGGGACTGTGTTGGCTCCGCATCGATGCCCATTTGTTGTAGTGGGTGCTCTCTCATCTCGAGCATCACCACCCATCACTCTACCTCTACCAGCGCACTGACGGTCACTGGTGGAACTCCACTCATTTGGGAAAGTTCTCTTTGGTTATGTTTGTTTTTATGCTTCTTTTGATATCTGTGAAAAACTGAAGTCATTGTAAGTGGACACTACAACTTGAGAGCAGTGTATGTTTTATTATTTTTGAGTATGTCATATGCATTTCTCAGATCCCAGCATCTTTTTCTGGTTTATGGAATGATAGTCCCTACATTATTATTTTAAATCCACACTACCCAAAACAAAGAATGAGAAGCACATGTGATGATAACAGGTTCCTGAGAAATGAAACAAATGGTCTCACATACAGATGAGAATTTAGATACGAGGGACCTGCAAAGATTTTCAGCAATAGTCATCCCTAAGCTCTACTCTTATGTCCAGAAAAGAATGTATTTCAGAATCCACTGTTACACTTTTGTGGTTCCCAACAGATTCAATCTTTAGGTGAGAATTCTTATTGCCAATTCTCATTGTCTTATTCTTCAGGTGAGAATTCTTATTTTGACAATAAGAAGTTTTAGATGTTGTAGCAACATCATAAAATCAAAAAATATCAAGAAATAAAGGGGCATGGCAATATGGCTCTTGAAGATGCTATGCCATACAACCAGAGGCCATTTTTTCTTAGCATATTGTTCCTGATTTACTTCTTTTTTTTAGATTTTAATGATGAGAAAGAGGGATGACGTTTATTTTGACAACTTTAAGGCATCAGCTAGATTAAAATTGTTTGAACTCCATGATTTGAAGCTTAAATCCTCACCGAGATCTTCTGTGTGCAAAGCTCCTCTTTTGAGGAGAAGTTTGGTGGTTGCATGCCTTAGTAGCCAAAATGCTACTTGCCAGTCTCTGCTGGGACATAAGAGAGGTCTGGAAAATATCCGACGTGGAATTCACATATCTGCCTCCTTTGCAGCCAGTGACACATCCGTAACTAGCTGGATTTTTAAATTGCATTTTGCTCAAATCTATGGAAACTAAAGTCAAATTATCATTGCCTGAAAACAATAATATACAGTTTTCTTCCTAGTGATTTTAAAATCTGGACTTCCCCAGTTATGGTCCACATTTTCTATTTTCAGAGTTTCCTTTTTCTCCTTTCATTTTTCTTTTATCTTTTTTTTTCTTTTCCTTTCCTTGATTCTGACTCATCAGCTTTTGATTGAAATATCATCACTGATTTTTAAAAAATTTATGACTATGGACGCACGTTAAAAATCCAAAGAAAACTCCTAACTCTGTAAGTAGTAGCTAACCCTAAAATACGTGATTCTTGGGGTAGTGCTTCACTGTGGGGCACTTTATAAGAGCCCCAATGATTGGGAAGAGCTCACCTAATTTGGAGACGTTTTCCTACCAGTTATGACTGTCTCCCCTCCTTATGATCCTCTACATTCATCTTCTGTCCCTAAGCATCACAATGTAAATATCATCTCTGGTGTTCCAGCTCACCAGAAGAATCCCCGACTTGTAGTAAACACTATCCATACATTAGTTACTTGTAATTACCTGCTGGCATATAATTCCATGTAGCCTTTAATCTGCTGAGTTCTTGAATTCTGTTCACTGAGCTATGACCAGATAAATAATAGATATGCACATGAAAAATGCAAACTTGTATGATTTTTAAAGGAAGTCATGCAGGTCTGTGATAAAAACAGCAGGTGATAACTCTGCACTCTCATTGTCAAGGTTAGATATATTCCAGTTGCAAAAGAGCCAGACTTGAGCTCTGCTCTGGTCATCTTTGAGTTTAAGGCCCTTTGTTGTATAATAAGGCTATGGAAGTTGTACTCCAATGGCTAAGGCCATGCTGTTAATATGGCTGCTGGAGCATCCCAGCAGCTGAACCCCACACTTTTTATGCTCCCAATGTGGTTGAGCTTCACGTTTGCCGTCTCAACAACACTTGAACACACACACACATGCACACATACAAATGAAACCGGAAAAAATCTTTTCTGAGCCTCTTACATGAGGAAGATAATCATATGAAAGACTCAACACCCAAAGTGGGTGTCACATATAAAAAATTAAGCTGATGACTTTGCAGTGACTCAAGTTCTCTGTTTTCCATAGCTTACCAGGTAGTGTGCCTGGCTATTACTTTATCATGAAGCCCACAGGCTTGACTTGTAAGCTTAACCTAGACCATGATCCTATACCATCATGGATTTAGGACTAGATTCTTCTTGAAATTCAAAATCTCTAGAAACTAGACATTAGAATGCTAGGGGCAGTTTCCTAGGAAACAAACATAACGCCTCACAGATGAAAGACTTGTAGCTCTAGTTTCAGTAACTTCTTATATCTACTTTCATACAACAGGGAGGCAAGAGGATTCTCTGTCATCTCTGGTGGCTGAGTGTAAAGTGTGTGCCAAGTCAGCAGCGCAATTATCAAATCTGAGAGTCGAGCTCTGGATCACCACCTGATTATTTAGTAGGACCATTTTTAAAACAGCTTCGAAACCAATTAAACATGGAAAATGAATTACCTTCTTATCCCTGCAGATGAGACATCACAGTTTCAGGATAAATACTGTTGCTGTTTGCTAGCTACTCAGTTCATCCCATTATGAATGGTGATGTGTGTTGTAGGTGTGCAGCTATTTGAGGGGTGAGGGATTAAGATATTTTGTCAAATGAACCTTTTCAGCATACCTGTTTGTGGGAGGGACACGAGACACGTGGATAGCAGTGAGATACTATGCCTCTAGACCTTGATGGAGGCTTGGTGAAACACATCTCAGTAAGCATGTGGAGGTAGAGTAATCGGCAGCTATCTCTACCTGAGCAAGGATAAACAATCTTAGCCCTACCACATGACCCAGGTAGGGCCACCACTATGCCTTCATTTCTCACTCAAGCTCCAACCACAGAGAGTCTGACAAGTTTGTGTTATGATGTTGGCTTGGCGTTATATTTTTAATTAGCTTTGGATTTTTTAGTGGTTTTGTCATATTACTGTCTGAGTTTGGTAGGTAGGATTAATTTGAGAAGACTTTAGTAGTGTGGTTCTTGGGGTAGAATTTAGCTGTAAGCATGTTGTTAGCCAGCCTGTAGACTGTTAATTACTTAATAATCTCACTGGGAAAATACTAGTAGTTTTATATTTGGGTGACGTGATTGGAAAAGCAGATTAGCTATTGTTACTTTAAAAAGACTTGAGGTTGGGATGCACGGTTTTCCCACATAGTGAGATAAAAAGATCCAAATATTTGCTCGATAACCAAGTTGCAAAATTTGAAGCCATTGGCTAGAATGTGCTTTGCTGGACATCCAAATGGATGACTCTTCATTTGGACAGTACACCGCTGAATGCGTTGGATTTGCTCTGCACCGGAAGGGTACTTGTTCTATGGTAGCTTTCCTGAAGGTATCTAAATTTCATTTTCTTTTACTCAAATTTGCATCCCAGAGGTTGACGTTGGAGTTTCAAGTTGGAAAACATTTTGGAAGGCAGACTCGATTGAGTTGTGAGGGTGAAGCCCTCACATACATCTGAACAGACATGATGAAATTCACTCGCACGAGTTGGTGGGCAGGAGAACCAAACTGGATCACTGGGTAGGACTACTCAGTAAAGCAATGAACTAGTTGCTTAGAGAGGCATCACTATCCCCGTTCAGAAAAACGTGTGGCAAGATGAGATAGCTACACAATATCAAACAAGTGGGCCAATTCAGCGCCCCCCAATTCAATTCTGTGGGGAAAAAGTATTGAGCCAGTTGTCAGTGGTCTGTTACAAAACTGACAAACTGAATTCTTTGTCGTTGTCGTTGTTGTTGTTGTTGTTGTTTCTCATTTCCACTTGCACAGCCTTATTCTCATAATTAAACTCTGATTCATTTTCTCTTTGGTGTTTGCAAACTCCAACAACAGAAATGGCATCTGTGTATTGGTAATCAGCATTTACCCTGGCAGGAGACTAATCAAATAGGCTCATCTCAGACATTAGTCCTATCATCTGATATTTCCAGCAAAACAAAACATAATGATTCCCTTTCCATTCTCCTCCTCACAAATCCAGAAGCCCTCTTTACCAAGAGCATCACATTTTTCTCTGTAATCTATGGACTAAAAGAAAATTGTTGTGGGGAGGGTGGAGGGGGCGTGGGGGTGGAGGGCGGAGGGTGGGGAAGCCCCCGGAGGTCACGCTGCAGCTCATTCCCCTTCCTGCTTCTGACATGAGATGTTAAAGAATCATTCATAGTGCTCACATTGGGTTAGGGGACACTGAACTGCTTTTCAGATCCATGACCAATCATCATTCTTCTGAGATTGGAGCTTTGCTGTTTCATTAACTGTGCAGTGTAGACTAATGGTGTTTAATAAAAATCATTCAAAATTTCAAACTCTTTTGCCAGTGACCTCAATTTTGTTGGCGCTTTGCTTTGTATCAGACTTTGAGGAGGGAAGGGGGGAGTGAAGGAAGCCTGCTAGCAGGCCCCAGGCAGGATGCTGTAGCAGATGCCATGCAGCTGTGGGAACCCTCCGAAGAATGCCCCAGGGGATGCTCTCAGCTGGGAATACGTTGTTCCCACTAGGGATTCATCTTCTGCAGTCTCCACAGCAGGAAGCCAGCTGCCTATCAGTTGCTTTACCTATTTGGTTTTGTCCTGCACTACTTGTGTGGCTACAAAACAAGAGAAGTGTCTCTGAGCGCAGAGCCCAGTGTAGTGACAGTGACAATGTGTAGCCAAATGCTCCCTAGATGCTTTTGCCCTACTTTGATCCTGCAGGGCCTGTGACATTGAAGGAGAAGGAGCCCCCGGGCAGGAAACAAAATCAGAGAAGCCCCAGGAAACTGGGTTAATGTCACACTGTGAAGACTTTTGGTCAGCTTGGCATGCAGCCAGTGGTGTGCTGGTAAAATGTCTAACAACCAGCTCTCTGAGAATACAAAGAGCTGGTTTGTAGCATTTGCCCATTTCCATGGTGTAAAGACTCTCATCATGGGTGATTTCTGGCGACCAGTTATGACATCACTGAACACATGATTGGTCGAAGACGCATGCCACTTGTCTGTGTGAGCTGGGCCAGCTCCAACACACCATTGTATGCAGCCAGTTAAAGAGGGTTCACCTTTCACACATCTGTTCACGTGGACACACCCACCTCGTATACTTCCGTGACTAAAACAATCTAATCATTTTCAAATATCAGTCAATCAATCTTCTGTGAGTGTAAGTAGTTTATGGTGAGGCCCTAGAGGTACAGGCTTTTCTGGAAGCCTGACTTTTAAGTAGTCCATGTCCCAAAAGGAATGAAACTTTCTGAAGCTGATGGGACAGATGGACCAGTGGTGGGAGCTTCATCTTCAGATTGTATAGGTAAAATGAAAGTGAGATAGCACTCAGAAAATCCTCATGGTTTTTTTTTTAAAGGATAGATGAGTGTTTATGTTACTGTGCTCATTAATATTTTTTAAATTTCTAAGGGATATTTCTAATTTCTAAGTGTAACTTGGATAGTTGCAAAGTCTCTGTACAGAATAGCACAATCCAAAATTTGCTGTGTTTTATCTCATAAGACAGAAACCCAGTAATTCCCTAATGTCCACATTGCTGTTCATAGGTTTTTAGTTGTTTTTTTTTTTGAAGGGATATTGACATTTTCTTAACATTTGTTTCTCATTAAAAGTATCTGATTACTGTCTCAGTTCTGAACTCCAACCGCAATTTCTCCTGTATCAGTTACATAACTAATATTCTGAAATGATTGTCCCAGTTAAAACAATTCTTTTCCACCCAGTGTGAAGGAAACTGAAGTCACTAACAAAGAGGCATAATCTACAGTATATTTTTCTGATAGAATGGATCTTTCACTAAACACACACACACACACACCTTTCTATTAAACCTCCTCATCATAAATCCATTTGTGAGTAGAACAGAAGCCTCAAAGAATCTCTTCTGGGCCTGTGCATCTTCAGCAGTTAAAAAGAGGTTCATGTCTGGAACAACTGAAGAACTTGTCCTATAATCCTACTTTTCTTTTAAGCATCTCCATATTCTATCTGGGCCTGTGTCTACATGGAACGTTAACCCTGAAGGAGATCTATATCTTGCTCCTTCATCCTGGCTTTTCTGTCTTTTGCCTCTGTGGCTCTTTCTGTGGCTTGCACAATGGCTGAGTTTGGGAGTCTGTCCCTTCCTGGTATTTCTGCGACATTTGCCCTTCCTGGAGAATGGTAGCATCTGGGTCTGGTTTAATTGACATTACATTACACTTACACAGGGACTCTGTCCCCCACACCCCCAGGCAGTTGACCAATTTTCATGGCTACAAAGAACTAGAAATGTGTTTAACATCATCTGGCGCATCCCCTATTGCAAAACCATCCTTGGTAATCAATCATGTTCACCCATGAATACTGCAAATGAGAATGATTCTGTCTTGGGACAATTTGTCAAATAGTTTTCTTCCTGGATGGTTCTACTCTCTTGACAGTTTAGAAAGAGAAATGTCTGAGATGAAATTCTTTGTATTTATACAATTCTAACTATTGGTGTTTTTATTCCTATTTTCATCAGAGAAGTGCTTCTGAAGACTGTTTGATGTAGTGTTGTCTTCAATAAAATCAATGTTAAAAGTAAGCCTTCTAGAGATACCGTTCTCAGAAATGTTCCTTGGGATCAGAAGATACCTAAAATTCTCCCCCTTTACACTCTTCTTTAGATGCGTATTTTTAGGATCCTCCAGAGAAAATGACTTTTCTGTTCTTGTGCTGGTGGCTGTGGCTGTGGCTGTGGCTGTGGTTGTCCTCTCTGTTGCCTCTCTCTCTCTCTCTCTCTCTCTCTCTCTCTCACTGTCTCTCTCTCTATCTCTGGTGTTCTTTCTCTCTCTAAAACAATTAATAGTTGAATTAAATGTGAGCTTCTGAATTGTACTTGTTTGTGCTTTTAAGACCTAAATTATTAAAAAAAAAAATAGATGTGTCCTGATTTAATACATGCCACCTGGAAAGGCATGAGGTATTACAAAACCGTAATATAATAACTGCATCATTACATGGCAGTATAAATAGTAGTCTGTTGAATTCATTTGTCCAATTGTATCACTTTGTGAAGCAGTGTTTTGAACTTTGCTACATCATTTTGGAGCAAGTGGAGTGGTTGCAGGCAGAGGAGAAAGTGCTTGTATCAGGATATTTCAGTGAACCTTAGTTGGAAACCTGGTAATGGCAGAAATCTTCAGATGTTGTTGTAAGCATTGTAAATATGAACAAGAAATCTTTGTTCGAGAAATTCCCCAGAGCATTTCAGCCAAGACTTTTAAGTTCATCATCCTTTTTTCCTTTCTTTTCTTTTCCCTTTCTTTTCCTTGGAAGGGGTGTGTGTTTTTTATTATTTGCCTGAAGAAAAATTTTGAATACCTTAGTGTATTTCTGTTTATTTTCTTCCCTTCCTCCTTTGTTCCCTGCTTCCATCTCTCTCTCATCCCCCCTCTCTCTTGAAAATGCTAAAATCTGGAGTCATTGGTAAATCTGCATTAGACCAGGCTGTAGGCCAGGTGTATAGCTCGCCTTACATTATTGGATTCCCAAAAGAGAACACTGCGTTCACTGGGTCCTTCCACCAAGAGACAAATGGGCAGAGATAATTTTTGCAGAGGGATGCTTGTCTAATAGCCTGTGAGACTAATGCAGTTTAACAAATGACTCGACCTGTTTTCCAGTAAGTAACTTGATTGAGACTTGCAAAATACCCCTGAGAGTTGTCAGGAGTATCTTCTGCCTGGTCTATAATGTATGTGTTTGCTTTGTATCTAAGAGGCACATCATGTCTTGTGTGCACATTTGAGTATTTCATAACATTCCCATTAACCTGTATATAAGAACCAGAACGATAGACTCAACATGTTGTAAATGAAGATGTGACTCTATAACCTTTCTCTTGTTCTTGGGGAAAAAAGACATTCTCATGCGTATTTTAAACAGAAACTGTATATTTAAGTGTCATGGAAAATATTTATTGAGTAACCAGGATACAAATGGGAATTTAATTGTCAACATATGCTTTGTGTGTGTGTGTGTGTGTGATTGCTCACCAACACCATGTTGCTGAACCACTGTGGCAAGTAGAACACATTGTCTGTGGTGAGCATGTGCACATGTGTATACTGGTGCCATATGTCTGGCTTGCTGTGTTTCATGGGATTTTAGCTTTCCCTTGCGGAGAAGCATTGTTTTACACTTCCGGGAGGCCATGGTTACATTGCTGTACAAAGGCACAGTAGCTAGAAATGAAACCATCTTTCTTCTTAGAAGTTTACATCATAATATCATGGCTCAGTCAAATAGATTCCATCGGTCATTGTGAGAAAATTGAATTTGTCCAAATCCAGCTGAGCTTCCCAGAGGAAACTGTAGGTTGAGATTCAGGGAAGGAAAGGTGAAGGCCACCTCAGCTGCGGCAGCATGAGCTGAGTTGCGCCCTCTGGGTCAGAATAGGCTCGCTCCAAGCTGCCAGTTAGTGCCCTGGGGCCCATGTCTGGCCTGGGCTCCCTGCACAACAATGGAAGATTAGAAGCATCAGGGACAGCTGGCCATGGCTCCTGAGAAGAAGACTCCTGAGACCCTAACCCCCACCCTAGGAAGACTCTTCCGCACTGGGGTATCCCATGTGGCCATCAAAACCCAACGATCACTCAGAAAGTGCCCCTTTGGCTTTAACATAAACTAATTAGTCTTCTGAACCACTTCTTTGGTGCAGATTTCCAATATTCATCTTCACTGTAGCTCCACCAACTGTCACTGTTCTTAATACGCATGCTCGTCTAGTCAAAATTCCGGTCAGTTCTGATGTTTTGTATAGGCCCTGCTAACTGTTCTAACATCAATCAATTAATGAAATGGTATCTGGTTTGTAAAACCTGGTTTCATGTGCTTTCTTTGTATAAAAGTCTATCTGCCTGTGTGGCTTTGCATTTCAAATGTGTGGCGCACAAGCGTTTTGTTGGTGCTTTGTTCTCAGTACAGTAACTCTGTGTACAAACATTTTAATGTGGTTTTATTGTTTTGCAACAAGATGTTTCTGTAAAAATGATATTGGCTGAGCTGGTGTGTTGGTTTCACTCATAGAGGCATTAACTATACTGCCAATGCGTTGAATTATTTAAAAATGCAAAATAAAATTTTTATGAAAACCTCATTTTAGACATGTAGATTATTCTGCTTAAAGACTTTCTCAGCAATAAGTACCTTGTTACCACCTCTTTCACATTATAATACATAGCCAATGCCCCCCCTTCAACAGCTGTGAAATTGAGGGCAATAAAGAAAATAACTGTCACGAAGCCAATTTATTTTATAAGAGAGACAGACCCTTGGACCATTATTTAAAGCCTTTTG